AAGAAATAAAATGCATCCAAATCAAAGAAGTAAAACTCTCACTCTTTGCAGATGATATGATACTTTAGGTGGAAAACCCAAAAGACTCCACTCTAAAACTGCTAGAACTCATACAGGAATTCAGTAAAGTGTCAGGATACAAAAATCAATGCACAGAAATCAGTTGCATTTCTATACACCAACAGCAAGACAGAAGAAGAGTCCATCCCATTTACAATCGCTCCCAAAACCATAAGATACATAGGAATAAACCTAACCGAAGAGGCAAAGAATCTGTTCTCAGAAAACTATAAAGTACTCATGAAGGAAATTGAGGAAGATACAAAGAAATGGAAGAATATTCCATGCTCATGGATTAGAAGAAGAAATATTGTGAAAATGTCTATGCTACCTAAAGAAATCTACACATTTAAAGCAATCTCTATCAAAATACCATAGATTTTTTTCAAAGAAAGGTACAAATAAACCTAAAATTTATATGGAACCAGAAAAGACCCTGAATAGCCAGAGGAATGTCAAAATAGAAAGCCAAAGTTGGTGGCATCACAATTCCGGACTTCAAGCTCTATTACAAAGCTGTAACCATCAAGACAGTATGATACTGGCACAAAAACAGACACATAGATCAATGGAACAGAATAGAGAGCCCAGAAATAGACCTTCAACTCTATGGTCATCTCATCTTGAACAAAGCAGGAAAGGACTTACAATGGAAAAAAGACAGTCTCTTCAACAAATCGTGTTGGGAATATTGGACAGTCACATGCAGAAGAATGAAACTGGACCATTTCCTTACACCACATACAAAAATAGACTCCAAATGGATGAAAGATCTCAATGTGAGACAGGAATCTATCAAAATCCTTAAGAAGAACACAGGCAGCAACTTCTTCGACCTCAGTCACAGCAACTTCTTCCTAGAAACATCGCCAAAGGCAAGAGAAGCAAGGGCAAAAATGAATTACTGGGACTTCATCAAGAACAAAAGCTTTTACACAGCAAAGGAAACCATCAACAAAACCAAAAAACAACTGATAGAATGAGAGAAAATATTTGCAAATGACGTATCAGATAAAGGGCTAGCATCCAAAATTTATAAAGAACTTATCAAACTCAACACCCAAAGAACAAATAATTCAATCAAGAAATGGGTAAAAGACACGAACAGACATTTCTGCAAAGAAGACTTCCAGATGGCCAACAGACACATGAAAAAGTGTTCAACATTACTCGGCATCAGGGTAATACAAATCAAAACCACAATGAGATACCACCTCACACCAGTCAGAATGGCTAAAATTAACAAGTCAGGAAACAATAGATATTGGTGAGGATGCAGAGAAAGGGGAACCCTCCTATACTGTTGGTGGGAATGCAAGCTTGTGCAGCCGCTCTGAAAAACAGCATGGTGGTTCCTCATAAAGTTGAAAATAGAGTTACCCTATGACCCAGCAATCACACTACTGGGTATTTACCCTAAAGATACAAATGTAGTGATCCGAAGGGGCACGTGGACCTGAATGTTTATAACAGCTATGTCCTCCATAGCCAAACTATGGAAAGGGGCTAGATGTCCATCAAGAGATGAATGGATAAAGAAGATGTGGTATATATATATACAATGGAATACTATGCAGCCATCAAAAGAAATGAAATCTTACCATTTGCAATGATGTGGATGGAACTAGAGGGTATTATGCTAAGCGAAATATTTCAATCAGAGAAAGACAATTATCATATGATCTCTCTGATATGAGGAATTTGAGAGGCAGGGTGGAGGGGGGTTGGGGGTAGGGAAGGAAAGAATGAAACAAGATGGGATCAGGAGGGAGACAAACCGCAAGAGACTCTAATCTCACAAAACAAACTGAGGGTTGCTGAGGGGGTGGGGGGCTATGGAGAGAGGGTGGTTGGGTTGTGGACATTGGGGAGGGTATGTGCTATGGTGAGTGCTGTAAAATGTGTAACCCTAATAATTCACAGACCTGTACCCTTGGGGGAAAAATAATACATTATATGTTAATAAAAATAATTTAAATAAATAAGTAAATTTTATTAATTTTTTAAAATAGGGGTATTCATGATATCATATGTACAGCAACATAACTTTATAATTCTTTCCTTATATTTTCAACTACCGTATGTAGTAAATTTCCAAGTGTTTGGACATTTGGAACAAAACCAATATATTATGTCTCAGCATCACTGTGGCTCCCTAAAGACAAGTCCCTATTGTTGTAATACTAGCACATAGATGAATGCTTAACCCAGAGTAGATGTCACTAAATGTTTACTAAAGGCTGCAGGAAAAGCAATGGTGGGTAAGAGAAAGAGGACCAAAGTAGGAGTTGGATTAACCTTGCTTGGCTATATCCTATCCCCTATGACCTTGAGCAAATCACATGTTCATCGAGATTTATTTTCAGAATCTATAAAATGCAGATAACCTCATATCTTCATGAAGCTGTTGTAAGGACCAAATGAGATGTGCCACCGTAAGTTTTTTTAAGTTGCTTAATGCTTTGCACACACACACACAAAAAATCAGCTACTCTTACTCATGGTAAGTGACTAAACAGACACTACATTAAAAGGGAGAGAAAAGGAAGGAAGGGCTGGAAACAAGATTCTGTACCTCTTCCTCCTCCCACACACACAATAGATGTTAGGCACATGCTTTGCTTTCACTCACATTTTCCTCAAGTATTCTTATTCACCAATTTATCAAATACTTACCCAATGCAAACAGATACCAGGCCTGGAGCCAGGAAAAAGCATAAGGCACAAGCCCTGTCCTCAGAGAAGTCTAAGTCTAGTGGAAGAGACAGACATGTGAACAGATTGATACGCTGAGTGGAATCGAAGCGCCCACCTCCACGGGCAAATTTGGGTAATTCCTAATGGGTTGGGTACAACTAGGGAAGAGAAGATGACAATCAGAAAAGGCGCTCTAGAAGAAGGATCCTCCAGGATACTTCTGGGAAAACGTAGTGCGCAAAGGTGGAAAGTGCATTCTAAGGCAGAGGAGACCAGGCCATAGAAACAGACAAGAGCACCAAATCAAAGACGACTTTGTATACAAGGCTATGGAACCTTATTTCATACATCATGGGGATCCACTAAAGGGTGGTAAGATGGCTTAATGTAAATATTAAGCAGCTTTACTTCCACCCTCTGAGGATATTGCTACTGCTGCTAGCAACTCTCCCGGCCGCCTGTCGCTGCTCAGCTTGGAATCATCTACTACAGAACCTCTAAGAAAGGAGCCAAGTGGGAAACTTTGACACTTCCCAGGGCTTACTCTAGTCAGACTCTGCAGAGACTGGGGCCTCCCTGCTAGCTCTCAAGAGAAAAGAAAAATTAGAAAACCTTTTAATATATGCTTGAGCTCTGACTTGCTGTGTGATTTCCTTGGGACTGATGAGTCTCTGACCCATCCTCCAAACAAGCGAAACTCTGATCAGGAGTCCAATCCGAACACTAAAAGCTTGTACTAAAATGTAAGCATCATTGCTTCCTCTTCTTTATTATTAATCTCCAAATATAATCATAAGTCACTCTTTCCTCTTTTCCTAAGTCCTATCAGTAGACAAATAGTATTTGTATGGACAACAGATACACATGGTGTCCGGGGGTTGGTCTGATCACCCATCACTTAGCACCAACCATTTATGTCACTTCTAAATCATTCTGAAACACGGATGACACCCAAATGTAAACTCTTGGATTTTTTTCTTAAATAATACTGATCCTATCAAATACGGCAGCTAAATTCTATCCCTTTGCAAATGAATTTCAACAACTTTACATTGTGTCGATCTTTTTAAAAACAAGCCAAGGTCTAAGGATAGAACTTTGTGGGTTTCAAACCCCCAAGAAGACAAAAATCTCTCAGGTTTAGTAAGGGTCCCTCTTCCTTTCACTATTACACTCCTACCCCAACCAGCATCCCAGGGTTTGTCCACAGAGAGGAAGACCCTCAGCACTAGGGAGAAGTTCAGAGTTGGGGACTGAGGATAATCAGGGTATGATTGCTTTCCTCCCTACTCTTTCCCCATCCAACAAACCTTCAGGTGGTCTGATTTGCCAAACACAGCATTTTGGCTGCCCCCATACCCAGGGCAGGATTTAGGAAGCATTATTTTTAAACTAGCAATATTAACACAGAATGCAAAGAAACCCATTACATTTGATTTCTTTTCAAGTCACCTCACAAATATGATCTTTAAAGCATAATGAAAACACTGAGACAGGGCGCCTGGGTGGCTCAGTGGGTTAAGCCGCTGCCTTCGGCTCAGGTCATGATCTCAGGGTCCTGGGATCGAGTCCCACATCGGGCTCTCTGCTCAGCAGGGATCCTGCTTCCCTCTCTCTCTCTCTGCCTGCCTCTCTGTCTACTTGTGATCTCTCTCTGTCAAATAAATAAATAAATAAAAATCTTAAAAAAAAAAAAAAAAAGAAAACACTGAGACATAAATTGCTGCTTGAAACTATCTCCTGTAGAAGTTATCTCTTCTTCTGTGAAGAGATGAAAAGGAAAATAGTTCTGAGCACGCTGGGTCCCTTACTCAGCAATCATCATATGAACTCCAGTTGAAAAAAAAAAATTCACAAAGTGCTTAAAAATCTGCTTTAATTATATTTCCATGAATTCCAAGAAGAACATCATTGCAGTTAATATTACAAAAAAGCAAAGAAGGACATCTGAACATGCAATAAAAAAATGGATTCACAGTGAAAATAACGTATGTTGGTACTAAAATATAGTTACTTGGCTCCATGAAGGGAAAAGGTTTCTTCTAATTATCTATTTACTTGGATTTTATTATGAGAAAATATTTTTCTTCTTCTTTTTTTTTTTTTTTTTTTGCTTGACAGCTCTGGGGATGTTTTCAATCTTGTGTTACTATTATTGTTAGTGTCTGACAGAAGTCCCTCATTCTGAAAGCCATTATTTGCAGTCTATAATTTAATCAGAAAATTCAAAAGTACAACAAATAGCTTGGCAACTGTGTTCTTGTTACATACAAAGCCATTAGCAAAAATATGTAACAAAATTTATGTAAAACAAACAATTTTGTCCTTATATACAGAAGTTTGCTTTATCCTCATACCCTCTTAGCCTACTCTAAAATGAGAGGGTGTGGGGTGGGGGGGAACGGCTACCAATCTCCTCTTAACTCATTCTGCACAGGGTAGGGAAATCTTAAAACGCAGGGTAACTATTTTAATCTTCTTTTGACTGAGTTATAAAAATGCATCTGGGCTTCTCAAGGAAGAAGGAAAACTAAGAATGATGATAACGGCTTTAAAATAAAGAATTTGTCCCTTTGTCCTTTGCGAAGTTTCTTAATGACCTCAACAATGATAGAGTAAAACCGAGTACATTTGTGACTGTGATCTGAGGGCAGAGTAGAGAGCGTGGCGGAGAAAGAGACAGACATCAGAACCCAAGCTGCTGCTAAGTTTCACAACCAAAGCATGCACATATTTCATACGAAGAGCGTTTACACTTCAGGGGAGAAAGATCATACGCAGAGGGAAATGTCACCCCGATCTATATACAAATGCAGAAACAGGAAGAACACGGGGAGTCAAAGGGAGACCAAAATACAAGTTTAAAAATACATTTTTAAAATCATTTCAAAGCCAAGACCATGTTTACTGAAAACTCTGACAATTCTACAGAACACTTTGTAAACATTGAAAATGCAGCTTGATGTAATTCACAGTCTCAAGAGAAAATAAATTTCTGGTTTATCTTCACTGTTGGGCTCGGTCTGCAGAATGGAATGATCTGAGCAAAACGGGTCGCCGTAGCTGGGGCGCAAGGCGGCACACGCCCCTTCTGGGATGCCGCGGCCTTCCAAGCCGCCCGCTTTGCTGCTCCGCAGGTAGCCAGCGATGTACGAGCCGGTGGAGTGCCGGTTGCCAGCAGGCAGGGGTGCCGAGGGTTTGTTTCGCAGAACCACTCCTCCTGCGTGGCTGGGGTTGATGCCTTTTTGCTTGTTGGCTTCCTGTTTTTCCTTGGCACGGCTGGCAATGTTGCGCACTCTGCTCTGGCTTCTGGATGACAACTTTCGGACCAGTGCCCTGGGGAAATGACTGGCATCTGGCTTGGAATAGAGCACCTGACAGCCCTCTTCCTGGTCGAAAGACACAAGCTTCCGCAGCTGCTCGGTCAGGGCGTCTATGGGCTCTAATGACTTTGTCTTCGCAGCCACGCCCTTCTTGTCTCTAATGCCGGTTGTAACAAAACTCTTACTAATGCACTGGTACTTGCTTTCAAAGTTGCAGGCGATGTCCTCTGATGTTAAGTCCCCCAGACTTTTGGATTTGCAAGGGCTGGGCAGCTTCAGAGAAGGCAGAGGGGGATGTGTGGGCTGCGTGGGTACAGGGGCGTGCATGCCTTCATCACTGGACAGGGGCCCACAGGTCTGGTTCACTTTTGCGTCTAAATTTGAACAGTTGTTGTGCAGAAAACCAGCACCCGGGTAGGCTAGACAAGAAATACTTTGATTTTTGACATCTTGAATATTGTTGAGTATTTCAGAGACAGAAGGGGGAAAAGTCTCTTTACGGTAGCCATTTCTCAAACCTTTTTGAAAATGTTCCACCACGTCCTGGCCGTACTGTGGTTTTAAGGGAGAAGCAGAGTGACTTGCGTCCTCTCTTCTATATTCATAGGTTGTTATGGACAGGTTTTCTGAGTCTCCGTCCACTTCCACGAGACTGCTCTCTCCAGAATTTAAAGAGAGAGTGGTTTCCGCTATGACCTCTCCCAGTGCCAAGTCGGTGGAAGTGGCGGGGCTGTGGTTCTTTAGTGTTTCCCACTCTTTGCCATTGGTGGGACTTTTTGGTAACCAGCAGTGAGAAGCGTAAGACCCAGGCAGGTCGTTTTCCACAGCCGCTGTCTTGGCCTGACCAGGAAGGATGTCATCTGGCTTGGCTTTGGAGACAGGAGTGCACGTAGTTTCACAGACCGTGTGTGTTGAGTGTTTGGAGGTCTCGGGACTTGAGAAGGCAATCGGGGCAGGAGACGAGCACAGGAAGGATGATTTGGATTTTCCCATGGAAAAGTCGTGCCTGAAGGGCATCTTTTGCTCCAAGGTGGGCAAGGAAGGATGACTTGACCTGACACTGGTGCTAGGGGGCTGAGAAACAACTGTGACGTTTGCCTGATCACTGGTCTCCTCAAACTGGCCAATCAGTGCTGAGATAGAACTGCCTGGCTCATTCTCATTGGTTAACGTCACATTGTCAATAAGATGGGAAATTTCACTCTCCTGCAGAATGGCAGTAGAATGCGAGTCAGGTATGCCAGAACAGAGCACAGAGACGTCTGACAAAGAAAAGGATGTTGCAGTTCGGCCCATAATCCAATTCCCTTCCAAATTCTTAATCTCCAGGCTGCTTTGAGAAAAAATGTTCCCTGACAATGTACTTTTTTCCTCGGCAAAGCCCCCAGCATTCCCATTTGCCTTGGTTTTCACACCACATGGACCTTGTATTAGGGTAACTGTAGGATCAAGAGCCAAATGCTGCCTTGGGGAAAGGAATCTGCTGGGGCACTCCTGTTCCTGGCCATCACCTGACACATTTGCTTTGGTTCTCCCACCCTTGGGACCTGCCACTCCCAACTGTTCTCCTGTGATTGGCCTGTTGGCAACAGAAATGGTGGAGTCCCCCTGGCTGATGTCTTTGTGGAGGAGGGCGCTAGAGGAAGAGGATAACTTTTTGTTGAAATTTGGCAAATGTTGGTCTTTTATACTTGCCTTCCCTTTTCTTCTTCCATCCTTATCATCTGCTGAATGAAACAAACAACATTTTAGGTAATATGTATCACTTTTTGTAGACCCTACAAACACTCATGTTTGTCTTCAGACAGACAAATGGATAATGTAAATCTGTTACATCGTGACAGGATATAGTTATGGATTGCAGAGGTTTGCAACAAAGTGTCTGTGTGATGAATAAATGGTAAAATATATTTATAGGAATTTCACTGAAGCTTCCCTTTGAGTATCTATTACATCAGCTAAGGATGTAATAGTCATTGTCAAAAAAAAATGTCAATGAGTTACCATACTTTTACAGTGAGGATTACCTTAAGTTGTTTCCTATTCAGATTTGTACTACACAGAAGCATGGCAATAAAAATAGAACAAGACAGTTCTGTTAAACAAAGTATTGCGGTACCTGTAAGCAAGATACTATAAGCTTTCAAAGTTATACATGGATTAGTAAAAAATCACAAATCATATTATTTAAAAAAAAAAAAAGCAGACTGGACGGTGCAATAAATGTATCAAAATACCAGTATCTACTGATTCTGAGGTGTAAAAATAAAGACTTGGTGACCAATTCTATGCCGTTGTTAATATCTAATTTTTTCTTAATCATACTTTTGTTTTTAATATGCAAATTCCATATTGCATTCTCCCCTAAAAGAGGCAGTAAGTTATTAGGCACAGTATAGAAATCTATAAAAACACACAATTCACAGGAATTTGGGGTACCCCATCATACTTAGGATAATGCTCAAACAGTATCAAATGCTCAATTATTTTTTACCTAATTCTTTCAATAGTGTTTTTTTAAATGTTTTCAGTCAGGATATATAAGAAAGAAGAATTTATTTATCTTGTTAAAATATCTTCCTAACTAAAGAAAAATTCATCATAAAAAGTTTGACAAATCCAAAAATTATAAAGAAAAAAATTAAATATCCTATGATGTTACCACTCAGAGAGAGCTATTGTAAGCTCTTTTAGAGGGACAGAATTATATATAGAATTTTGTATTCTGCATTTTCTCCACTTATTTTTTTTCTACATTATAACTTGAATCATTGCATAGCTTTGTTTGTTCTATATTTACCACAAGTCTCATATAATATAAATGAGAATGACAAATTTATAAAGCTGTTAAAGGGAGGAAATATGCATCAACTCAATACTGTTTTCTGGATTAACCAGTATTTATTTCTATTGAGTAGAGCTTTATTTTCTCCCAAAACGGGATTTTGAAATAAACTTTAAAGCACATATTTCATCACTTCTCTGACACTGCTCTTAGTGAATTTTCAAAATTTTAAACCTTTTTCTCCCTTCAAATAAGCCATTCAAAAATTCATTTGTTTCCCTAGAATATCTTATAATAAAAATCAATACAAGCAACAGGGAGTTTGTGAGAAAGTGGGACACTGAAATTAGACTGCATGATAGAAGGAGAATTTCCCTAAAGTAAACAGGTATCACATTACATTTGTCTGAGATGATCCTGATTTAATTAAAACACTTTTGTCATGGAGACATCAAATGGACAGAGTTTTGGTACTTCCTTTACCAAAGTCAGAGGAAAGAGTCACTGCCGCAACTCAGGAGCTCCTCGGTACCTTGCAAAGCAGGCATTATTTTTTATCAAGTTCTTGGTATAAGCGAAGCATTATGCTCAGATTAGGGGAAAAAATAGGTAAGGCTTGATCCGTATGCCTGAGGAGCCTATAACTGGACAGGAGCCATAGACATGCTTCCTTCCCTGCCAACATCCAGGGATCAGGGATATGAGGCCACAGGAAAACACCACCTGAGCTACCTCTTGAGGAAGCAAAGATTTCTCAAGTGAAGAAGTTGGCTTGCTTTTGACATCTAGCTTGACTTCTTTCTCCATAAACATTTCTAATCATGGAAGTGTGTTGTATGTTGGGGAAAGAAATACTACTGTATCCAACCTCAAATAAAAAATCAATATAATTCTATTTTACCTCAGAACAATCAGTAAATATTAAACCCACTTGGAAAACCAAGATCTCTGCTCCAGGTTTGTCTGTTTCACCTCCCTCTAGGGCACCTCACAGACCCCTGGGCTCCATACCGTCGCACCTGATTGCTCCCCTTAGCCCCCTCACTATCAATTTCAAATGTCAGTGCTATTTTAAGGCTTTAGGTGGCTAGGAAATAGTACTTTCCCCTTCTCCCCGAAGCTTAAAATCTGGCCTAAAGTTAACATTAAAAACTATTTTTTAGTATATTTTTACTTTGACTATAAAATGTCAACCAGGTCATAATGGTAATCAGGGACCAAAATATGGCTTCAAAAGAGTTATTCTTAGAGAAACATAAAGCATCTTACCCAGGGAGTGTTCTTTTCCTTCAGTGTCTTTTGCTGTTGCAGATATAGGCAGTGACAAAGCCCCCAGAAGACTTTTGTCAACAGGCAAAGAGACAGGGCGCTCTTGCAAACTCCGTGTGGTCCTCCTCAGGACACCATCTTGATCTCTTGAAGCCTCCGACACAGAATCCTTAATCTCTACCATTTCCTGGAAGCCCATTTTGCTCTTTTTTCTGCCTTTGGCCGGAGCACTGGCTGTGCGTCGCAAAATCCTGTCTCCAATGGATCGTTTCCGAACGTAATGGGAATTGTTTTCCGAAGAACTGTGCCTGGGATTCTTATTGAACAATCCCTTCAGACCTTGGAGCTGTCTGTTCTGAAGACACAAAAGGAGGACGTGCGGGTTAAGCAAATCCCATTGTGTCAACAACTTGCCTTCCAAATGACAGCTCCATGAAAAGTGGACACACAGCAACATCGTACAGCCATCAAAGGATATTCAAACCAAGAAAACTGCAGCTCACAGCATGCCGACACAATGTCATGCACGCCTTATTGACCTTACTTTGTGACGAGGCATCCTTCCGTTTTTTGCAACCAAGCTACCCAGAAGCTTCCTACCCGGAGATGGCAAGGTGATGGGAAATGTTTCCACACTTAATAGACTGCTATGAACTTCAAGCCACCTTAAAGCAACAGATGCATGTTTCCAAGTGGGAAGCAGGAAATGGAGTGGTATGAGAGCATGCTGCCATGACCATTTAAAAAGAAACATGTCAGCACGAACAGGGCACCATGCCGAGAAACTACCTTTGTAGCTCCTAGAAAGTGCAATATAGTATAACTGGGGTTGAGTATTAAAGGGCTCCACTGCAAGGAAAGAAAACAAACACAACAAAACACAATGTGGGCTCATTCAAGAAAGTGTACAAGTGTACACTTGCACAAGTTTACAAGTGTACAAGTAACAACAAAAGATGAGAACGCATATGCGTCTAGCACTCCTTCTTCCACCTTCGGCGATTTCAGCTTCGTGTGGTACTCCACTCATCACCGCCACATTGTGCTTTATGTATCCCAACCCAAATACACCTCCAAAGTAATTCATAATGCGACTTAGAAGTAGGCATCCATTTAGGAGAACAGAAATCCTATGGAACACTTTGATTCCTTCCTAGCTCAAGTTTTAAATAAATTCTGAATGTTACTGTTTCCCTCGAGATGATAATTTATCCTCTACAGATACTACTTAGTTAGGCTGGGATCCCTAGAAGCTCAAGAATCATCTTGCGACATTTACATTTGTGTGCATTTATGTCAGATGAACAGCACAGACAGAAACCGACGACTACAAAAAAGTCATAGAAGAAAACTCCAGCACTCTTAGACATTAGAATCCTTAGTGCCCCTCCCATACCAACTGATGGAAGGAAAAACATTATACCCCCTAATTCAGCCTGAACTGGTCCACTCCCTAGAAACTGGCTTATAGTCTTGATATTAATATTAGCCAACATTTTTGAGCATTTACTCTACGTCAGGCAGCTTTCTAAGGATAACGTAGTTTTTTACCCTACCTTTACAGATGAGGAAGCTAAGGCACAGAGAATGTCTGTAACTCTACAGGAGAAACTCCAAGCAATGCAGACTTCTAATAGAGAGCACTGGACATTCCTAGGTGCTAGCCAAGGCTCTTATAGTCCCTCCAAATCACATCTGGTCCCAGGAATTCATTCCAGTGGCCAAGTCCCCAATTACTTGGCATGACTAAAGGACAGCCTATTGATTTGTAAACCTCCAATGAGTTGTGTAATGAAGAGAGCCACATCAGGAGAAAACTAGAATACATTCTTGTCGTCTAGTTCTTAAAAGAAAGTCCTTATAACATCCTTAAAGTCCTGTGGGTGGCTTTAAATGCATTCATGGAGTTTTAGGGTTTGGGCTAAATACAACGGCACGAAATGAGTGCATCCTGCCGAGAACGGGCTAGAATCACAGTCTGGTTGGTACTGGTAATTCCTCAAACATCTGAGATGCCACATTGCCTGCTACAGCTAGCTAGGTCTTCTTAAGTAGTAAAATAAAACTCAATGTTTAGGTAAATATTTACTGTTGTACTAACAATAAATATACAAAGGAGCTTCTGAGAGAATAGTGGTTTTCTCCTAAGCCCGGAGAGGCCACACCCCAAAACAGTGGAAGGAGCACATGTGGGTCAGGACAGGACCTGACAGGCTGGCGCATGGGGCTTGCTGGGCTTCTCACTGGTTTTCTGCTAGAGAACAACTTTGTCAAGATGTACGTGCCTTTTGAGCGATTAGTCAAAAAAATAACTTTGTTAAGGACCATATTATTGTCGTACATGACTTTAAGCCCTATATTCTTTCTCACCTTTCCATAGATTTCATTGATTGTTATGTGGACAAATATAGATGCTTCTGTCAGTCCTTCCAGATAGACATGCCGGTAGCCTGAGAAAAAGCAAAGAAAACAGTTTCCTTTTACTTGGACTTACATTTGGCTTTCCCATGGGTGCAACTAAATGAAGTGTTTGAATTTACTATAATTCTTTACATTTCAAAAACATGTTAACATTCATATACCACATTTTATATAACATATATGCCAGACGTTGTATATATCACATATCATATATTAAAATTTGAACGGTCTGCCCAGAGAGGAGAGGCCAGCCCCTGCGTACCAGGCACTAAGCTGCTGAAGGTCACGGTTCTTTGTCCAACGAAGTCTCGTCCAATTGGATCATGATCCCACACCAGGAACCGAACCAAAGCTATGTCTGGCATATGTACTGTAAATGTCAGGGTTTCTTCCCACACGGGGTTAAATCCTCAGAGAAACAGGAAGAGAAAAATCAGAAAAGCAAAGGGCTTGGCTAAAAATGAATTGGCAGCAATATCTGCAAAGCAGACTGAAAATTGCTTGCAATGGTTATTAAACTTGCGAAGATGACCAAGCCACTCCAGGGTGCCTTACTGACATAAAGTCTTGGAATTCGCCCCATTGCCAGAAAATAATTGGTAGGAAGATTGCCTGTAAATGATTACATTAATTCTAATAATCTTTGATGCCCAAATTGCATTGTAGGGGACATTTCTTGAGGTGATTTTAGAACGCTTCAAAAAGCTCAAAAAGTATCTTTAGTATTGATCTAATAATGTTTTAGGAGGAAAAAAAAAAGGAAGAAAGAGAGAGATCCTGCCTTGCAGAGACGAAACAATTATGCTTCAGACCCGCAAAAGATTCTACTGCTATAATAATCACCAGCAAACATTTTATAAGGTGTTATGTAGGTTTCAATGCTACTGTACATATAGCGTCTTATTAAATGTTATAGCAATCCTCTAAGGATGGCAAGGCAGGAGTTTTGTGTTTTTTTCTAATTAAGAAAAAAGAATGCATTATGATTAGCTTTCAAAGCTATATAATTTTTAAAAATCACCCAAGTAACAAATGCTTTTTTTAAACTAAGAAATGCAAGTATTTATAAATCATTTTGTAGTTAAGAAAACTGATATGCAGAGAAAATAGTGCACCTAAGGTCACACAGATAGTTACAGAGCCAACTCAGAATGTGCACTGTTTTTTTCCAGTGTCTTCCCATGAAGCGAAACCTTAATACATGGAAGACATGTTTTCATAGCTATTAAAAATAAATAGATATATAATTCAGCTTATATTCTGAAAGGTAAGAATACATTTATTTCATGATAAAATTTTCTCCGATAAAATAATTATATAAATTGACGAAAATTCAAGTACTCTCTAAGTTTCTTTTCCAAAAATTAATAAATTTTATTAAATACATGTATCCAGGAGGCATCAGCTACTTATTACTATTAAATGCCTCAACTAAGGAAATAATCATGGACTGAAATCACTGACGTGTCCCTTCTTAACAAAAGAAGAGACTGTGGGGGCGCCTGGGTGGCTCAGTGGGTTAAGCCGCTGCCTTCGGCTCAGGTCATGATCTCAGGGTCCTGGGATCAAGTCCCGCATCGGGCTCTCTGCTCAGCCAAGAGCCTGCTTCTCTCTCTCTCTCTCTCTCTCTCTCTCTCTCTCTCTCTCTTGCCATATAAATAAATAAAATATTTAAAAAAAAAAAGAAGAGACTGTGTTTTTGTTACCTTAGTCATGACTTCTCAAGTACTTCTTTAGATAAAAAACAAACGACAAACAAAAAAAACAACAAAAACAAAACTATGGCCATTGGTGGGAAAATGCAATATAGGAAGCCTGCTTCCTTTAAGCATGTTATTTCCTAAAGTAATAGGTTTCTGCTACTCTTGAATCCCCAGATTCCTTTCCTTAAGCTAGCACTTAGAAAAACTCCTCTTAGGGGGGCACCTGGGTGACTGAGTTGGTTGAGTGTCTGACTTGATTTTGGCTCAGGTCATGATCTTGGGGTAGAGAAACTGAGCCCGGCATCTGGCTCGGCTTGCACTTGGTGCAGAGTCTGCTTGGGATTCTCTCTCCCTCCCCATCTGCCCCTCCCTGCCCCCACCCCGCTCATGCTCGTGCTGGCTCTCTCTCTAAAATAATCTTTAAAAAAAAAAGTCTGAAACTAGTGATGTACAAAAATGTTGGCTAATGGAATTTAAATTAAAAAAAAAAGAAAAGAAAAGCTCCTCTTAAGCTCTCACTATAAACCTCCAATTTCTTAAATGTTTTGAGGATTGTGGTTTAGAGTATTAATGACTAAAGGTTGAGAAAAATAGGTATTCTGTAATGTTTGTCAAATGTATGAACAAACACTATGTAAGAAGATTACCAAGAAAAAGACATGAGGCTTAGGTTAAGAAAGCTTTTTTTACATCATGGCCGGAATACAAGAATGGTGTCCACCCACCATATGGACATATTGAGAAGTAAACTGGACCAAGCATGCTGGACTTGCTTTTAGAGTTTTACATGCTCCAGAAAAAAATAAAAAAACATCAAGACATATAGGTGTCATGAGTGAGAGCTCTGAAGTAACTTACATCATGAAAATATGATATAAAAATGTAATAGAGGCATTTTCCTAAGTTTTAACCCAGTCCTTTAAAATACTATCCATTCTCTTCATTAGAAAACAATTGCTTCAAAAGAAAGAATTTAAGAACGTAGATCACAAATCCACCAAAACATACTATGCATCTAACATAAACTCAGATGGCAGTTATGAATTTTAGGGTTGTTTATCTTCTACATAGCCAAATTTTTCTTTTTCAGTGCAAATTTTATTTCTAGAGCTTCTTGATTAAAAGTCAACAGATTATCATCTTACCATTGTCGTCTACTACACGAGTTTGATCTTTACAACAGTCTACCGGCAATCCAATAATTTCAACTTCAACAAAAGGATCAATGATCTATGTAAATAAAGAGAGAGTATTATTGCAACTGATACATTTCTATATGTATGTTAACTAATTTGAGAATATTGGCCAAAATGTCCATGTTTCAATAGTAACCCATTTTATTAGGTGCTTACTGAGAAAGAGAAACTGTATAACAGATTTCAGTATATGAAACAGAAAAAAAGATTAAATTTTAGTTTGCCAATATTTACTGATGCTACACAAATTTTTATGCAATGAACCTACAACTCCAGTTCAAGGTATATGTCTAACAGAAATGAGAGCTCTTGTCCATGCTCAGAGCAGCTGTATTCATAATATGTAATATGTATTCATAATATTCACATACTAGAAACAACCTAATTGTCTATCATGAGTAGGATGGATGAACTGTGGATTATTCATTTAATGACTGCCATACGGTAATGAAAAAGAAAAAATTCTGCAACACAGACATCATGTTCAGCAATTCAGACCTAAAAGGGTATATACCGGGAGTGCCTGCCTGGCTCAGCTGGAAGAACATGCAACTCTTGATCTCGGGGACATGAGTTCAAGTCCCATGTTGGGTATAGAGATTAGTTTAAAAAAAAAAAAAAAGAGTATATACTATAAGAGTCTATTTACATAAAGTTTGAACACAAACAACATTAATGTGTTGTGATAGGGGTTGGTGTTTGATTGGGGGTGTTGAGAGTAGATATTTACTGGAAGGGTGAATGGAAGACTTCTGAGGGGGTTCTCAGATGTTCTGCATTGATCTGTGTTACATAATAATTAATCAAGCTATGCACATCTGATTTGTGCACTCTACTGTATTTAAATCAGCTGTATACTATAACGTAACTCTAAAAGTACCAAAAATAATAAGATTAAAAAGGAATCAATAGAAAAAAATGAATGCTTAGTCTTCCTTCCCACCTCCCCCCACCACCCCCTCCCCTCCAGAAGGAGGGACCCTGCTTTGTTGGTCATTTGTAAACTCTTTCACCATGCAAGTTCTGAATAAAGAGCAATGAAAGACTGAAACCTTAAGAATCCAGAAAGAGCTGATCTAAAAGTATAAAGGAGAGAGAGTTTAGTCTGAGAAAACATTTTAGGAGCTTGGAAAGGAAGGAGAAATAACGGAGTTTCAGGGAATAAGAGCTCGAAGCACATTGGAAAAACATGTTGAGAACATTGGGTGGATACACATATTTTTTGCTTACTAAATAAACCACGAAGTCTACTCATTCTCAATTAATCATTTGATGCTAGAAATTCGTCCTTTCAGTAGAACCTTGTGGTAAAACTGGACCATTGGGTATCTCAGATTTTGGAGGGCAGCTAATGAGGATGACTTCTGTCCCTGAGGAATTCAAGAAGACCACAGGCCTGGAGAGTAACTTCCTGCTTCAAAATGTGCCTCCTGTGTTGCTCCAAGCAAATTATGTACCTATACTTCTGTCTTCTCATCTGCAGACCTGGGACCCCAGTGTTTGCTTCCTCAGACTGTAATCTCCATGACATCCTGGAAGAATGGAATTGGATGGTGGCAAGTATATTTCTTTTTATTCCAATCATGAAGAAGCAACCAGGTAAATTCAAAAGGAAGGACATTTTGAAAATAACTGGCTTGGACATTTTATAAAATGTCAATATCATGAGAACAAAATAAGAAAGCTAGAGAACTGTTCTAGATTTTTAAAGGACCAAAGAGAAATGACAACTAAAAGCAATGTGTGATCCTTCATTGGATCCTGAATACATAAAGAAAAAAAGAAAAGAAAAAAGAAGATATAAGGATAATTTGGGGACAACTGGAGAAAAAGGAATACAGATTTTACATTAGATAATATTATTATACCAATATTAAATGTCATGATTGTATTGTGGTTCTAGAGGTGAACATTCTTATTCTTAGGAGATAAATGCTAAAGTACACAGGTATTTAGGGGTCAAGATATCAATAACTTATTCTCAAATGACTCTATGAAGAAATGCATATATACCTATATGTGTGTATAATTTTTGAACTTTGTTACATTTGCTTCATCTCTGTGTATAAATGTGTGTATACACATACACAAATATACATACATATATACACAGACATATATACATCTACACATGAAAGGGAGAGAAAGCAAATATAACAAAATTTAGTAATTTTATTGGTGAAGCTAGATGCTGGAGATGTGGCATTAATTTTACTAACCTCACAAGTTTTCTGAGGTTCAAAAATTTTCAAACTAAAAAGTTTGAGAGGAAAAAATAGCAAGGGTCTTCATTTTTGCAGACAGTGAAGAAAAGAAAAAAGGAAATAATGGATAAGGATACATTTTCTGATACTGTCCAAACAGCTACTCTTGCTGCTAAAAGGAGGACAGAATGGAAGGAGGGAGACCAGTCAGCTATGGGGCTACCTCAGCAGAACTGACGAGAGACAAGGGAAGTTTGAATTAGGCTAGAGGCAACAGCAATGGAACAAACGATCCCATATGAAGCTCCTACTTTCTGAGGAGTAGGACATGGTACCATCTGTGAAAGATGAGAAGGAAAGTGATGGGAACACCCATTTGAGGAGAGAGAAGGCTGGAAATAGCCCCTGTGGAGAACAGGATCGAAGGCTGACAAGATAAAGAGGACGGTCACATAGCATCACAGGTCAGATGAGATTTGCAACAAAGAGTTTATGGTAACCTAACAGCAGGGCTGAGCTGTGTCCCCACTCAACATTCAAGATCCAAAAATGCTGGTTTAACAAGGTGGAGTGGCAAGGGGCCTGAGGTGATAAACCACTCCTGAGAGGAAGAACATGGCATGCCTCCAACCTAGATGTTGTATGCATTCCGGAAGGGACTGTCAATGCTTGCCAATAAGTCAGCTGATACCCGATGAGCTGAGGTCAGTGCTCATTTACAAACACATACACAGAGAGAGAGAGAGAGAGAAAGAGCAAGAACTCTGAAGGTATTTCAGATGAAATGTAATCACAATAAAATAACCATGTAATTAACGACTTGGTCATACACATGGCTTACCTCGCCTCGGTCTCCAAACATGGAGTCTGGAGGTTTGGGGAGTTGCTGTCCACTGATTACTTTCAGGATGAGCTGCTTTTTGGGGTTGGCAGGAAGTGGGTCACCAGAAAAAGGGTTGAAAGTACCTAAGGCAAGTAAAGCGGAGGTTAAAATCTGAGGCTGGTAACACGGGAACACACACGCCCTTCGAGCACGCAGAACAAACAAGTGCTGAATAACTACAGTATTTCCTGGAGCAAAGACATGATCACATAACTATCAGTGTGGCTTCTACCTGAAGGCAATGCTGGCCTGCATTTCTATAGCTGTGGTTTTGTTAAAATCCATGCTCCCAAAGGCAAAGGAACAGGCCAATTTAAAGTGTCTGTGGTGCAATTATCAATCATGGAGAGGGAGAAGAGAGGCATTTTCTTAGAATGCCAACAGTGTAGATGTCAGATTCAAATAATTTTCTAACTTAAACTATCATAGGTATATAAAGTGAATATAACAAACAGAAAGACCCAAAACAAAGCAAACAGCAGAGCAAGAAAACAGGCAAAGCATAAAATCCTGAAGGCACATCTGTTAACACTTCTTTACCTGAATTGCTAAAAATCCAATTTGGAAAATTTTTGAAGAATTTTAATGAGCAGAACCAAAAACAAGTGTTTTTCTTTTCCCTATTGTTAGCACTGCTTTATAATTAGACTACGCTGACTAAAAGGGCTTGATAAAATAGTCTTAGGTGGTATTTTAATTTTGCTAGCGGGTTTCAGACTCACTCAAAGATTGGGCTCAGACCTTACATGGCAGCACAACTTATAGGTAATGCCTAGTGAGTATCACGCTGGGAGGCACTGGATCTCAGATGACAATTCATTGCTATTTATGACCCTCTTCATGTACGTAACCTCCCCAAGAGAACATTCTAAACATCATGCTACCCAAATGTTAAATAGTTGTGACCAAAGTTCTAATTTGCATGCAACACCTTCAACCATCTCTTTTTTAAAAATCATGTTGCAGGGGCACCTGGGTGGCTCCGTGGGTTGGGCCTCTGCCTTCGGCTCAGGTCATGATCTCAGGGTCCTGGGATCGAGCCCCACATTGGGCTCTCTGCTCAGCAGGGAGCCTGCTTCCTCCTCTCTCTCTGCCTGCCTCTCTGCCTACTTGTGATCTCCCACTCTCTAATAGACAAAATCTTTAAAAAAAAAATTCATGTTGCAAAACACTGACATATCACATTTTCCAGAGAGCTCCTCCAGTAAGGTGGCTGCAGTTGGAGAGATGACTATGAAGTGAACACACACCTTTGCACATTTGCTGGGGTTTGAGGACGTAGCCACAATTGCCATTTGTCTTGAACTTGGCTCGATTTAATTGCATCATTCGCCCTTCAGACTGGTAGTTCAGTGCCACTGTGCAAGTTCAAAGTTTGAGAGGTTAGGCAAGACAGCAGCATGGAGTCAGGACATACAGAGAACCGCTCCTTCCCGAGGCATACACACCTAGCTGGCAACCCGCGTTCCAGTAGGGCAGAGGGTTGAAGTTACTGGAATCAATGCGGTAGGCGGAGGGGTAAATCCTTGTGAGCTGCTTTTGGTTATAAATCATGAACTGCTCCGACTTCTGCTGAACCACCTGATGTGCTCTTGTTTCACTGAATGACAACACGTTTCCTGTGGTTCCTGGCAGTTTTTAATAATGAGAAAAGAAATGTGAGAACGTCCGTCGAGAAACCACCACTCACAAAAGACTTTCTAAGACATCAGATTATGTCCATAATAAAATGCAGAGCAAAAGAGTGAATTCAACCAGAGTAGGAGTAGCTTCGGGCCAAAAGAGAGCCAGAAAATCCCATTCCTGGGACTCTTTAACTATTTGGGGTCAAATCTGAGCTGCTCATCTTGCAAGGGTAACTGCATATTTCTGAGTCCGAGCTCCCCCAGGAATTCAGTCATCTCACTAGTTCATGTCTGTCTGGCTAACAGGAAGAGGACTGGCAGGAAAACTAATTTTTAGGGACATGACTCCAACAGAATATCTTTGGCAAAGATATAGCCAGTCATGGATAAATAAAACTATGTAACTTATTACTATGTAACTTATTCTTGATGACAAGGAGGCATTCATTGAAGACATTCATCTAAAAAGCACACGTGAAGTACATATTAACTGATAGCATTCAGGGTCCAAGAAAATAAAAGACCAATTCCAAAAGAGAAAAATGGAGTTTTAATGTTAATTTGTTTAGAACTGTGAAACCAGTCAAAAGCTATTTGGGCAAAAGGAATAAAAATGGAGAAAGACTTTAAAGAGTATTATAAAAAGACAAAATCTCAGAAACAAGAACAATCTTTCACTATCCAAATAAACCATGGAAAAAATAAAGGGAGGTAGAAGCACAGGAAGCCTATATTATAGTTTCTGCTGGACTATCCTCTGGTCGTGTCAATCCGGGGCCAAGGAAGCACCAAATCTGTGGGTCATGATGTAGGTAACCCCTAAGCCTTCAATATCCCCCCTTTTTTCCAATCCCGTGTCTATCATGTCCCCATTACTCCTACTCCTTCACTGAACATCCTCATCCCACCCCCAAAACGACCACTCATATGTCGTCTGGACCTACTAGAAGAAGCCGGCCCAAATAAAGACCGACACTTGCCCAGAGCCTCATCATTCCAGTGTTTACTCTGATGAGCCGAGTGTGTCTGAACCCAGACGGAGGGACACAGCTCCCGAAGCCAAGGAGCTGAACTCCATAGTCTTGCTGGATCAATGGGGCCTGAATTGTATCCACCCCGTGCATGTTAATTAGAGCCCATATGGGCCCCACTCAGGGCCCCAGTTGCCCTCAGGACTGCATAACCTTAGACTTTAAACGCCGGCCAAATGACCGACAGTTATACTCTGGGGATGCAACTTGGAGTGATCATAAATACAAAACAGACGCAAAGAAATTATGGTTTTTAATCACACGATTTCCTTCATATACACTGTTTCCTTATCACATATATTTTATTGACATACTTATTAACATAGTTTATGTCTGAATAATCTTACTTGCAGATTTTGATGAGTAATGTTTTAAACATGATGGGAGAAAATCCAGTCGTTTTGACAAGTCCCAGTCAAGTGCAGTAACACTATAATCAGTGCCACTGTTTTCTCTGTCTCACCACATAAATATGTACACCACACTATCAGTAAGATGACCCTGCTAATTAGGCATATTATCAGCTAGCATATGAATAGATCTGAGTTGTTTTGCTTTGGGGTAAGACATGCATTCATTATTTATTGATCATTTTGTGGCTACACACGCACACACAACAAAAACTCAAGTTCAAGAGCAAAGAGTACTCAATATTATTTTCCATTAAGCTAACAGAATTATTGTTTCTGAAGGTATTTAGTAAAAATTATATTCCTTGGGGCACCTGAGTGGCTCAGCTGGTTAAGCATCCAACTCTTGGTTCTGGCTCGGGTCATGATCTCAGGGTCCTGGGATCAAGCCCTACGTCGGGCTCCCTGCTCAGTGGAGAGTCTGCTTGCACTTCTCTCTCTCTCCCTCTCCCTCTGCCTCTCGCCCTGGCTCGTGTTCTCATTTTTTCCCTCTCTCTCTCAAATAAATAAATACGTCTTCTTAAAGAATTATATTCCTTTAAACCAGATATACCTTTCACTCCATTAAACTACTCACTGAGTTTATTTTCTAGCTATGGGCAGTTATTACAAGGACAGTTTTTCATGTGAAATTAATTTAATTTTTTTTAATTGTCTCATTTGAAGAAGGAATCAACACCAAAGTTAAGACAGAAAACAATACACTTGTGGAATGAGAAAAACAAAGAAGAGAGATCTCTGAGGAGAATCCTGGAGGTTTGTGACAGACTTAAGACTCGGCACAATGTTGTTTTTCCTTCACTAAGATTGGGAAAAGTTGAGAAAATGAAAGATTTTTAATTTAGATTTCACTTCCACTAAAATTAGAATTAGGTCGAAAAGCCACATGACTGGAGTTTATTTCTATAAGCATTCAGTAACTGAACAAAACAGAAATGAGAAGGGAAGAGGATAAAGGGAAGAAGGGCAGCTAGCAGGGAAGTCCGGGGTAAGAACACCTGTGACTAGGATTTCTCAACGCAACATGATGCGGAAGACAGGTGAAAATCAGTGAAAGAATCGGTGCTTCTGAAATTCCTGCTCTGTTCAAACTTCAATCTGTGGGTTAAATTATCTTCATTAAAGTCAAAATTTCCAATGACAAAATATGGGATTTTTGAGGTGCTACTTCAGTTTTCTTCTTTCTTCTGGTCATTCGCACTAGGAACTTCCATCTGTGACCTGGTCACCAGACCACGACGTCAGGTCTCCACAGTTCACGCCTTGGGCAAGACGCTACTATAATGCATTTATCTTTATAGAATAATGAAGTCTTCCTCTGTCCAGCCAATCAGGCTACCACAGTAATTAATATGGCCCCCACCGTGAGCAAAGACTTACACTGGCTGCCAGTTTCCTGACACGCTGGATGCTACCAGTTCCAGAAATGCATGCTGATGATCCGATTAACAAACAGTTAGTAAACGGTTGACAAAGAAAAGTCGAGAATGTTTCCCCAAGAAGAAAAGCTCTCTCCTTACCATCGTCCACGATGTCCTGGGCCGCCACAGAGTTTGTATACACCACCAAGTCAGAGAGCTCTCGGCAGAGCTTCATGGTTTTCCTGCGGCGACCCAACCTGTGACATACACAGCCAGGACTCATGTCACTTAGAGCTGGAAGAGGTTTGGTCTCCACCTTCCTTACCTGCCCCTAGTAGAGCCAGGATTAGAATCCAAGCGTGAGTCCTAGGTCAGCTCTCTTTCCACCAAAATACCCTGTTCATGTGGTTTTATTCACTGCTCAGCTGAGAACCTGTGTCTTCTCGTGTATTTGTGAGTTCTGTCGTGAAGGGTTTGACTGCCACTGTTCCCCAGCCAGCAAGTAACAGAAGCGGAGTTCATCAGGCAGCTCCTCAACTTTGGCAGGAGGAGAACCTGGACTTCTATTCGAGAACATTCACAGCAGAGGTCTCCTGGGAGGTGATCCCATTTCTCTTACATCCTTTACTATAACTACAGATTCAATTTTCTGTATCCTAAGGGCAGGAACCTCATACATCCTCTCTGCCCTTACTAGTTACCATTTTATGTATGGATATTCTGTTGAAGTGAAGCTAAATATAAAATTTAATTGAGCACTAGATGTCCATTCCTACAAGACTTCTCTATGCTTCTAATTTCATTTAACTTCAGTCTTTCAATAAAGGCACACGGGTGTGTGTGTGTGTTTGTGCACGTGTGCACTTATCTATGATATAATTTACATTCCCCTGTGACTTTACAGTGTACATGAGCTGCCAGAAAATCATTATATTCATCTCAGATTCTATTGGCAATAATAAAGAAAACAGCAGCTAATATTTTTGAGTGCTTAGTTAATTGGAACAGGGCTTATCAGGCTAAATAATTTAATTCCTTTAATCCTCACAATGACCCTAAGAACTAGAAACATATGAGAAGCCTAACTCATCCCATGTCAGTGGCACAGGAACAAGAGCTTCAAGTCTGGCTACTTCGGATATCTAGCTTTGCACATGTGCTCATCATCCATCAGCCCCTTCAGTCTCCTAGGAGAGCCCCCCGGACTAGCTCCTGTGGCCCCTCTCTCTTCTCCGAAGAGACCTCTTCCCTGACCACTGCTGCAGCCAGCGCTTAGCAAGAGCTCCCTGTGGGCCAGGCACAGTGTAGGTCCCCTCCTTGTGTTATTATCTCACACCCAGTTCATCTTCCCACGTTCTGCTGCACTGAGCACTTGACCTTGTGATCCACTTCTCTAGACACATACAACTAAAACAGCGAAGCTGATGGGACTGCAGAGGCCCCGGGAGTCTAAGTAGGAAACACGGAGGTATATTCTCACCTGTACAGCTGGCTGGTCTCCTTGCCAGGATTCTGCTGTGTGTCCTCCTCGTCATCAGTACTATACGACTTAGACCGTGATTTTGTGGTTTTCTGCTGGAAAATCACAGTAAACTGAACAAGAAACTCACTGCATCAGGCACACCTGCAACATCTAGAGAATGGACTGGGCGTTATAATATACGCAAAAAGGACAATTACTTGGAAGAAAACAAATTAGTTGAATATTGCAGCTTGACTTACCATTAATAAAAAGCATGTCTACGATCATAATTATATTTAATATTAAGGCAAACCTAAGGGTTTCTTGCTTAAAATGGACTTCTAAGCTACAAAAGATGTAGGTTTTAGAAAGATGATTAGTCATTCATTGAAGGTCTCCAAGAGCAGAAGGGTCATAGTTATAATATCTATTCAAATGACTGTAAGGGGATAAAATGTTCTTTTACTTAGGAAATTCACTATTCCTGCTGACTTATAAAAGATAGATTTGACAAAAAAGACAAGTAGTAATTTTTTTATGAATAACTTTTTCTTGCTTTTGATTAGCGTGTGCTCAAATAACTGTCTAAGTCAAACTGCACTTTTGAGATTTTGACCCATTTTAATTTCTACCAACAGAATAAAAATTATTACCCACAGGGTTCAGGCTGAAAGGCTGCAGGACTAAATGCTGTCAGAAATAAGGACATTTTGGAATGACGCAGTTTTATCCCAGCACATTAGAGATAACCCCACTGTTTGGCAATACATAACAGAAAAAACAAATAACGGGAAGGGATCCTGTAATTGCAGAAAAACCTGCCACCAAAAAAACAGCTTCCACAAACAAAGGTAAGATCTTTAGAGAGCACCCTGGACTTCTGAGGTCTGTGGCTTAGAAAGAAAAAGGGAGACCACCCTCGTGTTAACCATGGGACCACATCACCCTCCAGATTTTCTCTTTAACAAGTAAAACACCAAACCAAACTGCTGGCATAAACACACTCAAGTCTGCTGCACTGACAGTAAGGTGCCAATAAAATCTAGAACCTTCTCTGGTGTTACTGATGTTTTGAGAACCTCAGAGTGCATGGTGTGCAAACACTAGCATCTGATGATCTCATGTTCCAGCCTGGCCTCCCACCAAGTGGGCAAGTTGGCCAACCTCTCTAGCTTCCTATTGTGTTTTTTAAAAGGAAAGGACAATGACAACTATTTTATAAAGGATTATTGTTGTGATGATTAAATGAGATGATGGTTGTAAAGTCATTCTGTAAGCTACAGAATATTGACTTTCAAAATAAATACTCTTCATATTTATTAAAATAACCCACCAACAGTCTTGTGGACATTCATTCTTATGACTTGAGTTCTAATAAATTTTAATTCTATTGTAGCTAAAGTATTTCTTCATCTTTCAATGGCTGCCTAATTGTACATTATGCGAATGAATTGTGGACTGAAGAAGTCTTTATGGGTGAACATTTTGGTTGTTTTCAGTTTTTTAGTATAATGACTACTTTGCCCAACCTTTTAATAAATTATCCTATTGATGGAGCAGGAAACTCCCAGCTACAACATTCCTTAAAGTACAAGAAATGGCCTTACAGAAGCTTCATGCATAAAGTTTACCACCCAATAATTGATTTCTTATATATTATGTTATACCTTTTTATTGAAAAGGTATAACATAATTTTACCTTTTTATTTAAGCATAGCATACATTTAGAAAAATACAACAATCTTAAGCACAATGATTTCCAAAGTCACAAAATAATACCACCCAAACGAGGAAATGAAGTATTAGGCGCCCAAAAGCTTTCTGATCTTCCATTCAGAAAGCTTCCTTAGCTCCTCTCCAAAGGTAACTACTATCCTGACTTACACCTCTTAGATCTTTTTTGCCTATCTTTAAACTTCATCTAAATCGTACCAAACTGTATGTACTATCTTGGGTCTAGCTTCTTTTGCTCAATGTCATGTTTATAAAGATATTACTGTATGCAGTTGTTGTTTTGTCATTTTCCTTGCTGAAAAATATTCTCTTATGTGAATACACCACAATTTTCATTTGTTCTATTGTTGACAGATGTTTGAACAGTTTCCTATTTGTACTATTACAACTAATGCCACTGTAAATATTAGGTGTACGTCATGAGGCTGAAACACAACAATAGAACTGATAAGACATGGTGCATAATACAGCTTTAATAGATACTGTGAAATAATTGCACAAATGCATACTTCCATTAGAAGTGAATAAAGTTCAAGTTACTCAGCATCCTCACTAACCCTTGGTGCTGTCAATCGTTTTATGTCTGCTCTTGTGACAGGTATATATATGGGTATATGTGAAATCTCATCATCATTTAATTTGCATTTTCCGGGGGATTGATAAGGCTCAGTATCTTTTCCACACTAGCCATTTGGAAATCTTGTTTTGTGAGAGGCTACTTAAGTCTTTTGCCCATTTGAAAAAGACTATGGGGGCTCCTCGGTGGCTCAGTCAGGTAAGCATCTGACTCTTGGTTTTGGCTTGGGTCATGATCTCATGGGTCGTGGGACTGGGTGTCTGTTTCAAGATTCTCTCCCTCCACCCCTCGTGCCACTTATGCATGCTCTCTCTCTCTCTAAAATTAATAATTTTTTTTAAATTATGGTATTTTTGTATTGATTATAAGAAGTCTTCATATATTCAGGATATAAGTCCTTTGTGGGATATGGGTATCGAAAATACTCTTTTCAAGTATGCAGCCTACTTATCAAGTAATAATAAGAAGAATTTCTTAAGAAGTTCTTCAATTTTAAAGTAGCTTATCAATCTTTCTCTTTTCTGAAGTCCTATTTAAGAAGTCTTCTGTTATTCCAAGGTTATGATGATATTGTCCTGATACTTTCCAGTCTTTTTAAATTCATTGGACTATGCACCTTTGTCACTCTTAATTCATACCTTATGTTTTCCAAAGTTGGTCATGAGGGATCGTCCATGTGATTTCTTTCCATTTTCCTTCACATCTGGATGCTGAGTAAATAAAACATAATATGACTATTTCTCTTTCTCACTTTTGTTTTTGCTTTAGTTCTGGTGGAATGGCAGGGGAACCCTCCTTGCCTTAGGTAGAACAAGCAGGTCCCATTCATTTCCTCCTGTCCCATACCTTCACTACCCCAAAAGTTGTGGAGTCTATCTCAAGAGAGGAAGACATTGGACTGGAGAAGTGTGGGCACCAACCAGGAGACAGTAACCACCAACCACTTCCCAAACTGGTGTCAAGGGCCTCTTAGGAATGTCCAGCTGTACAGGTCCCTCCAGTGCCTGGTCACAAGACTCTCTACAGCACAAGAGGTATTCTTCTGAATGTGCTGAGTGGGGATAATCACCTTTCATTAAAATAGATTTTGATTTTGAAAAATGGCTCAAAGTCTTTAAGAGCCAATTCTGTTGACTAAGAAAATAAAACCCAAATACATCTATTAGGTAATAAGACTGTTTTTGTTTGTTTAAGTAAACCACAGCAGAGCTTATCTGTTTGTTGAAATTAATTCCTTGCATGGTGAGCATCTGGAAGAGGCATTGCAGCCTCTGAAATTTTCCTCATGTGGGTTAGTTTACCAGGCTAGAGATCTCCTCACTCAAGCCCATCTCTCATTAGGGGAAAGAAAGCCCACACCACCAAAGGGGTTTGGACTCCTCTTCAATGGTCATCCCTAAAAATATGTATTAGCTGGTTCAGAGCTAAGGACATGGTATGAGGAGAGATCAGCATGCCCCATCCTCCTGGGCCTTCTGGCTAAACAGAGAAGAAGCAGAGATAAGCACATAAATGGAATAAATGTGGGTGAGTAAAACTACTTAAAATCAAAATGCCAGGGAGGCACTGATGTCTATCCATAGAGACTAATCAAAGATGTAATTGGGGGTGGGAAGAAGATAAGATTAAGAACTGACTGGGGAAAGAGACAGTTCAGAAAATGCTGCAGGAGGTAGGAGGGGGTTTACAAGGTAATTTCATTTGACTGGTTAATGTCTATTGACCGCCTTGGAAGATCTACTGAAGCTGAATGTTAACTGTTCAAAAACCCCGGAGCTAAGAAGATAGCCAGATATGGTCATAGAAGTAACATTGCTTTCTAAGTTAGAAGACCCAGTTCTGAGGCCAAATAGCTAAATGTCCTTTGTCCATCAGTTGCCTTCTCTTGACCCGTTTTCTTACCTGTGAAATGGGAGAGGAATGGATCACTTAACCTCTTGAGTTCCTTTCTATTTCGAATAGCCCTCCTACCAGTAAGGGGACCATGTCATTTATTGTCCAAAATGAACTCTTTTAAGAGTGAAATAGGCACTTTTAACAATTACACTGGGACAATACGTATGAAGTAGGGCTGTCCTGTGCAAGGTGAAGTGTATGGTCATGCTATTTTGTAGGCACCTTCTACACCCCAAGGATTATGTTAAGTGCATTACATATATTCTCATTTAGTATATAAGCACCCTCAACGAGAAGTAGGGTTAAAATCCCATTTTACAAATAAGAAAAATTGAAGTACAGTGAAGTTAGATAATATGCTCAAAGTCACAAAGCTAGTTGGTGATAAAACGGGGGTTGTGTGTAGCTCTAAATCATCGTCTCTCTGGCTTGCTCTCCCCCAACTTCTCCCATCTCACATGACCCCTTTATGTAGAAGGGTAATCCCCATAAATACCTATCTCCAAGGTGACCTCTCCCTGAGCATCAGTACCACATTTTTTATTAAGTCCACAGATCGGACCCTGTGCTAGGAACTTGGCATGTATACAAGGAAACAGTAAGCAAAAGAGATGCAGACTCTGTCCTCCCTGGGCTTGTAACCTAAGGGTGGACACAAATGTAACACACTGTAATGAGATTCTGATGGAGAAAGTGCAGGGCATGGCAGGATGGCATGGGAAGGCCACCTACCAGACCTGAGGATCAAGGAGGACTTCCACGGAGACAAGCAAAAGCTGAAGCCAGAAGATGGGTAGACCTTTTCTAAGTGAGATGAGAAGGAGGAAGTGCATGGTGGCCAAGGGAGGAGCAAACACAAAAGTCAAGTGCTAAGAATATGGTACCTGCCAGGAGACAAAGGAAGTAGGGTGGGTGTGGACTTGTACGCATGCACATGGGTGGACAAGTCCGCGCCGGGGCCAGGGCCTGGGGAAAGGGTCCTATGGGCTATATCCTGGAAGGTGGACATTATCCTCCATACTCTGAGGAGACTCTGAACGGTTTAAAAAACAAGAAAATGGCATTATCAGAGGCCTGTTTCTGAAATATGACTACGGTCGTGAGATAAATGAGAAATTGGAGTGGGTGGGAGAGCACAGGAGCAGGAAAAGTCCCCTTAGGGAATAATTATGGCCATCCAGACAGTTGCCACTGCTATGTTTAAAAAAAAAAAAAAAAAAAAAAAGAAGGGGATTTAAGAACTCCAAAGGACAGGCATCTTTCTTGTGTCTACTATGTTCTTTGAGCCTGAAGGATGAGCACTTCATTTTTCTTTTACTCCAATCCCTTCCAGGGGAAAAAGAGCACAAGGAGAATGCAGAGTTGCATGGCTAGATGACAATCCAGCAAGAAGGAAGCTGGGGTGATGCACTGCCCTGAACCACACGGCCCAGCCTCAGGCTTGGCTCTCAATACACATGTGTATCCAACACAGATGGACTCATCTCAACAGTAACTCATCCTTGCCCACTGAGCCCAAAACCACATTTTAAAAGCTAACAGCAGTGTTAAAAACCTCAACGCTCATACAATGGAATACTACGCCGCCATCAAAGAAATGAAATCTTGCCATTTGCAACAATGTGGGTGGAACTAGAGGGTATTATGCTAAGCGATATAAGTCAATCAGAGAAAGACAATTATCATATGATCTCACTGATATAAGGAATTTGAGAGGCAGGTGGGGGGGTTGTGGGGGGTAAGGAAGGAAAAAATGAAATAAGATGGGATCAGGAGGGAGACAAACCATAAGAGACTCACAAACTGAGGGTTGCTTGGCAGTGGGGAGGTAGGGCTAGGGTGGCTGGGTGATGGACACTGGGGAGGGTATGTGCTGTGGTGACTGCTGTGATGTATGTAAGACCGATGAATCACAGACCTGTACCCCTGGGGTAAATAATACATTATATGTTAATAAAAATAATTAATTAAAAAAAAACCCAACGCTTTACAGCCCAGTTTATTAAAGTCACAGTCTCCACATTAGGAGTCTAATGCATTCTCATAGTCACCCAGATTGAATGGAAAGTAAAAAATAAGAAAAAGGGGAATGAGTTTTGTTCCAGCACACGTTGGAAATTTGAAATCCCTTACCATCTTACCTGAGAAGGTAATTGGCACTGGGATTTCTTCCATGAATAGCAAAAGAAGGATAGGTTTAATTTGTTTCTCCCAAATCTGCAAGACCTGCCATGGCCTGTCCAATTGGAATGATCTAGGATGCAGCAGAGACTTCTCCAGAAGCATGAGGGGAAGTGACTGGCCCAGGTTAGCCAATGAGAGTTCATGAAGAATAAGAAGCAGAAATCAAGGTGAGCTAACCGAGTGAGCTAACCAATTTTACAGACATTCGTGTGGTTAAAACTAAGTGGCTGGAAGGGGAGAGTGAAGAGGAAGCAGTTTCTATTTATAGAAATCTTTAAGAAAATTCACAATTGTATGATCAATGGTAAGGGCGGTACTACTGTAATCTACATTTCAGTTGCATCCCCAATATTCCATTCTGCCTAACGTGCAGCATCAGAGTGGCTGACCTTGGCACCACTTCCAGTGGTAAATTCTCTGGGATTAACAAGCCAATATTATCCTATACCCTTGGCAAGTTATCATTCCAGCAGGACATGTACTCAGGGCCACAGTGATTAGGTTAGGGGTGGGTGTATGAGCTAAGCTGACCAACCAGAGCTCAGCACAAACTCTAGAGAGTAACCACCAATGCTCAGTTGTCACTTCGATTCAAGTGTGGTCACCCCATGTGGTCCCCCTTCTGCCTGAGGATCCCTGAGTCCCAGAGGAGAGGCGGCAGTACCGGGGAAGTCAGTTATTAGAGCTAGCGACTGCCTGGATCTCCTCTAGGCCAGAATAAATGCCCTTGATGCCCTGCAGTGATAACATCAATAAACCCACCCTCCTTTGTCCTTGCCCACTTCTGATACCTCTATTAGAAAGCAGAGTTAAAATCTCAGCTAGAGCCCAAATCATTCGTTCATTCAGCAACCTCTTATGAAAGTTGTACTAAGGCCCAGGCACTATAACAAGTCAGAAAAATGACGTTATTAAGACTGGCACGGTTCTTGTCTTCAAGGAATCTATAATCAAGTTGAGAAGACAGATATTTAGCAAATTATTGCATATGTGTTAAAAAGAAAAAAAAAACCTTCAGAAAAGAGAAGCTGTCACAGGCTACCATGGACAATATAAAGGGATAACTAATCTAATCCCAGGTCAAGGCAGGACTCATCTGGGGCATCACACTGAGGCTGGAATTTAAGACTAATTAGGCATTAGCAAGAGCAGAGGTAGGAATGGAGTGTTCTGGGCAGAGGGAAAAGAACATGAGGAAGACCATGACGTACAGACAGCTGTGGTTGGTGGGACAACTGTGGGAAGCAGTGTGACAGGGAAAAGGAGAAGATCTGAGAGGTAGAAAAGAATGCAATTGTAGGTCCTTGAAAGCCTGGTTAAAGAGTTTATAATTTATCCCATTCATAACACGAAGCTACTGGACAATTTTCAGCAGTAGAGTGACATGATCAGATTTACATTTTGAAAACATCATGCTAATTTCAGAGTGGAGATCAGATTGAAGGAGGGCAAGAAAGGTCCAGGTGACAGTTGGTGTTGGCCTGGATGAGGACCCAGCCACGGCCAGGAGAAGTGGATGGATGGAAAACACGCTCAGGAGGTCCAGTCAGAGCAGCACGGAGGATGACGGGCTGGGGAGGGAAGGGGGGTGCAGCACGTGGTGGACTCGAGCCTTTTCCCTCAGCTGAGTAGGCACAGGACAGGTGAGCCTGGGACCACTGTCCTGAAGGTCCCAGTGAAGCAGTATTTGAGGGACTTCTGCCTCTGTCCATCTACTTTTAACAATTTCTCACATCATTTTGCCATGGGAGATTTCCATTTCTTGAGCAATAGGAGGAGGGAAATGGAAGAAACTAGAGAATTTCATCAACGACAAATGATCAGAAATAGAGCATGAGGTCCTTTCCTTTTTCCTATCGAAGGACAAGTACAAGAAGGAACTGGGTACCTGTTTCAGGTGTGCATTTAAGCCTTCATGTGTGGCCTTTAGTAGAGCCCTCACTGTGAAACTATCCGGATCTTCTTTGTCTCGAATTTGAGATTCTTTTAACAATGACTCCAGTTTTTTCCTTATGAAAGATTCCACCTGATGCTCAGTGGTCCCATTATTCTGCAAAGAATTAAGCAATGAAAATTATTTCCCTTAAGAAACACAGAATGAGAACACAGCCCTCATTCAAGCCAACATTGCTTCTTAGAATTTGATTAGCTTTCAATTACCTGTAAGAAGTTAAGCACAATATGCCATTTTGGTCCCCACCCCATACACACTGATCCCCCCAAATACTGATTACTATGATTATATTCAACCCTTGAGAACCTTACAAGGTCTTATCATTTTCATTTCAGAGACGTGGAAACTGATGCTCAGAGAAATTAAGTTGCTCAAGGTTACAAAGCTAGTAAGAAGCTGAGGCAGAATCCAATCCTTCCCATCATGCTACATTGCACTTTTAATAGAGGGAAAGTGAAGGACAGTCTTAAAAACTAAGTTTTCTGTATCTGCACAGGTAAATTTGAGAAAAAAAATGCTATTAAAAAAATCACCTCCTTTACTGAGGGGAAAAGAATGCGATGGAAATCTCTGGAATTGAGGATTATTCTGAGATAAAAGTTCTTTCCTACCTCTGATCCCAATGTATAATTAAAGGGAACTCATGACTGACCTGTGCCCTGATTCTTCATTAAAATGACTTTAAGATCACAAATAATTTCAAATGTTATGCTCGTGTCCAAATGACAACTTAGGCAATTTTTAGGTGATCCAGAGACAGGGATTTCCTTGACGTCTTTCTTAGCATGGCTTTTCGGCCACCCTGCTCTGCCCGACCCCAGTGTCCCCGGGCTCCTCAGCTTCTTTCATGTCTCTCTAGATCCAGCACTCATCCTTAGTTCTTCAGCCACCTGCTGGAGGCCAGCCCAGCCACAGGGTATGAAACCAGTCCTCCTCCATGAGGACCTCCTCCTATATTCCTCACCAAAATTTTAAGGCCTGTTTCCCACTAATACATTCGTTACTAAGAGGTGATTATATTTTTTAGATTTATTTATTTTTATTTTTTATAAACATATAATATATTTTTATCCCCAGGGGTACAGGTCTGTGAATCGCCAGGTTTACACACTTCACAGCACTCACCATAGCACATACCCTCCCCAATGTCCATAACCCCACCCCACTTCTCCCAAAGAGGTCATTATATTTAAACCCTGTAGAACCAGACAGTTTCCTGGTAATGCCTTCTATTTTCACAGAATCTGATAAAGGAAAAGCCATATAAATGACATAAGGGAAATTTGGGGGAAATAAGACTACATCAGGAATATGTTGCTGACTTTCCCAGTATTAAAATCACATGCACGAATGTCTTCGGTATATCCAATGAACAAGGCACCTCACTTCACTGCAGGCCCTCAGGTCTTGCAGGAGGTGCAAAGATGGACAAGAGTTGAACTGCATGGATGGCAGAGATGCTAAAGAGGTCCAAGGAACCACGGATGGCCGATGCAACTGCAGTTCTGAGAAGGAGCACGGCCTTCCTGCCCCAGTGACCAAGAGGTCCCCAAAGAAGAGGGGGAAGGGTCTGGGGCTCTGCAACAGCAATGGAGAGAGGGGCTTCCCTGTCATCCATAGCTCCTGCAAAGGTTTCCTAGAGCACAAGTTGCATGGAGGAGGGGACTGGCCGATAAAGTTGGAAATGTACCCTAGGGCCAGATGGTGGGGGGACATGAAGGCAAGAGGTGGGGAATTCCTGAGAGCCTCTGGGTAGCTAAGTGTCTGAGTACAGTATTTTAGAAATAGTATTAACCTGGCAGCCTGTGCAGAAAGAGGACAGGGGCCTTAGAGAGGAAAAGCCAGACACACTGGTTCCCGCAACCAGCATGAAGAGCCTAGGCCAGTGTGCTGGGAGGGATTTAACACAGAGGAGAGTTGGAAAGCAAACTTCATTTTGCATACAACAAACTGAGCTGCCTGCTGTATGCCAGGAGAGAAACATGACTAAAACACAACCCCCCTATCCCAGAACCCTCGGCATCACGGAGAAGATGGACACACAAATGGCCAACTACTCAAGCAGGTGCAAGTGACAGCACCAGGAAGATCACGGCCAGACAGAGGAGGGGCACCTCCTCTAGCCTTGGGAAGGTGGCAAAGACTTCCAAGAGCAGCGAAAACCTTGCCAAGCCTTAGAAGATGAGTACATTCATTTTCTGTGGCTGCTGTAACAAGTTACCACAAATCTGGTCGCTTAAAACAACAGAAATGTATTCCCTTGCGGTTCGAGAGGCCTGAAGCATGAAATCAATGTGTCAGCAGATCTAGACTCCCTCCTGTAGGAAAAGACGTTCCCTTGCTTCTTCCAGTTTATGGGAGCTCCTCGTATTCCTTGGCTTGTCAGCCTAACTCAAGTCTCTGCCTCTGTCTTCATGTGGCCTCCTTCTGCATGTCCACTGCTTCTGCTGTGTCTCCTTTTGTTAGGAAGAAGACTACTCATCATTGGATTTTTAAGTCCCACTTGGTTAATCTAGGATGATCTCTTCTCCAAGCCCTAACTTAATAACATCTACAGAGACTCACTTTCCAAAGAAGGTCGCATTCCTAGGTACCAGGGGGTAGGGCTTGGACATATCTTTTGGGGGACACACATCAACGTCCTACAATGAATGAGTTGAATATATGGCAGAGAGCAGAGTGACAGCATTCTAACAGGAGGGAAAGTGTGGAGAAAACAATCCGTAGCAGCAAGCACCAGTGACCATATGCATGTGGAGAAAAAAACACAGGGAAATATAGAAAAAGCAGCTAACGCTGTAAATCACACTAAGGTTTTACAAAACACAGTCATATAATGATACTTCATTTGAGCTGCCTAGTACCCTTGAAGGCAGCCACTAGGGTTAGCCAAATTCAGTCATGATACAGAGGCAGAAAGATTCAAAACTTTTCCAAACACACATGCCTAGGAAGTGGCTGAACAGGGACTTGAATCCAAGACTTCCAGTTCAAGATTCTTGGTCTATTTCTTCATATAATGCTGCAGCCATCCTTCTAATGCGGCTACAGAAAAAGATAAATTCTTGAGTCAAATTAAGCATGAGCAGGCTTATGTTTGGACAACCTAGAGGGAATCTGGGAAATTTATCCCCACAATCCCTCTGTGGGAAAGAGCAGGTCTCACTTAAGTGCAGAAGGAAGAGAATTCTAGACGTCCATCTCCCAACACATAGGCTCAAGTGACCCAGAGTCCTAACAGGGAGCACATCCGTCAGGAGAACCAAAAGAGAGGGCATGTGAGAGCACCCACCATGCCCAGGTCACCGAGAGGGCCCCAGATAAACTTCAGTTCCCTTCCCTGGCCCGGGGCCACACAAGTCAGAGATGGTGAGGAGACCAACTGTGGCCGCTACGCCCAGAGACGTTCACAGGCAGCAAAGCAAACACAAAGCCCGACTGGCTGACCGGCGCGGGAAATAATGACGGCTTCATACAAAGGCTCTGGTTATTCACTTCACACCCTCCAAACCCTGTGTGTTGCTGAAGGGATGATATTACTGCCTGTTGATCTTTCTCTTCTCTGTGATGTACAGCACGAGAAAATTAGCAGCCGTGGAGAACAAATAGATGCGTGGCTGAGGTTTCATTAGCATTTTATCCTTCGGTCCTGGAACCCAGGAGTGCGGCTGAAAGTAAGCTGAGACAGACACTTCACCCTGAGGCCTGTCGGCCAGTGTGCAGCTGCGGCAGGGACCACGGCTGAAAGCCCTCGGCATCTTGCTCTTTTGTTCCCTGAGTCAGCGGCGGTGGAAGGATGCTGCTGCGGGGAGGGGGGTGGGCGCGTATGCAGGAAGCAGCCCTTTAACATGGTTGGGAGTAGTCTCCACCCAAGAAGACCTCGGGGTTCCTAATTCCTGTTTCTAAGAGGTCAATGTGATCTGTCCGCCAATGTGGACTGTCCGCCCAAAATAGGTAACTCACACAAACACATTCTTGTTTTTTTCCCCAGTGTGAAATCTGAGGACGGCTGGAAAAGCAGCCAGCCTGGGAAACAGCAGGAATGGGGCTGCTCGAACAGTGGCATTCTATTGCCGCGGCCCACTGGAACCACTGGGGAGTGTTCCAAAATCCCAAACCCCGCCCCAGACCAATTATGTGGGAATCTCTGGGCCAGGACCTGGGTGTTGGGATTTTTGAAAGCTCCCCTGTCATTCCAATGTGCAGCCAATGCTGAGGACCTTTACTTTAAAACAAAACTAAACACTGGAATAGCTCACCATCCCCAAATGCCTTTTTCCCTGCCCCTAGGCTGAAATCTGGAGACAGGAAGGATAACATATTAGCCACCCTTTGTGAGGGCTTTTCCAAGCCTGGTATCTCAAGGTCTTGGGCTAAGGAACAGCTTCTCAGTGGCTCAAGTCTGTGCATGTACTCCTGTCCTCTACTATCTCCCGTCTGCTCCTTTAGCTCCCCGAGAACACACACTGCTTAAGGACCAGCTCCAGGCTCACATCAGCAATAATCCTGCTGCTTCTGCTATTCTTATTACTAACAATATCTAATATTTATTGAGCACAAATCATGCGTCAGGCATGGTTCTTAGTTTTTTACAGGGTGTGAAACAGTTGTTACGTGTTCCTGGATAAGGGCTCATATAAAACTGGTCAGAAGGCTTACTGTTTATGGGATAAGCATCACGTATAAGGTGGAGAGCTAATATTTGTACCTAAGAAGCTGGCTGAATATAGATTCACAGAGCACAAGAAAAAAGACAGCGAATAACTCAGTGAAGAAGAAAAAATCATTGAAGTTGAAATACAGGGGTGCAAAGTCTGTAAGTCACAATGACATTAGAGGACCCCGTAAAGATGAATAATGGCACGTTGGCCTCACTGAATCAAATCAGTTAGATAACTGTACTATGGTTGAAAGGAAACTGTCCCTGTGTCTTTGAGCCATGTGTTTTTTTTTTTTTTTTTTTTAAATACATATAATGTATTATTTGCTTCAGGGGTACAGGTCTGTGAAGCATCAGTTTTACATAATTTACAGCACTGACCATAGCACATACCCTCCTCAATGTCCATCACCCAACTACCCCATCCTTCCCACCCCTCTCCCCTCCAGCAATCCTCAGTTTGTTTCTTGAGATTAAGAGTCTCTTAAGGTTTGTCTCCCTGCCAATCCCCTCTTGTTCCATTTTTTTTCCCTCCCTACCCTCCACAAACCCCTGCCTCTCAAATTCCTCATATCAGAGAGGTCATATGATAATTGTCTTTCTCTGATTGACTTATTTCACATAGCATAACACTCTCTAGTTCCATCCATGTCATTGCAAATGGCAAGCTTTCACTTTTTGTGTTTGTGTGTGTGTGTTTGCTTTTTTTGTTTTGTTTTGTTTTGTTTTGTTTTTTGTTTTTTTTAAATGTGAACCATGTGATTCTTGAGTCACTGAACAACACAGTGGCTTTTCCATGGGCCTTATACATTATGGGCCAGATTGTCTCTACGGCTGATGCCACAAAATTCATATGAGGCAGAAGCTTAAAGGATTTAATTGATTCAACAACAGAGAGAATTTATTACACAAGCAAAAAACTTTCGATGTGGTTTGAATCCCTTAGAAGAAACAGCAGGGGCACCTGGGTGGCTCAGTCAGTCAAGCCTCCAACTCTTGTTTCTGGCTCAGGTTGTGATCTCCCAGTCGTGGGATCGAGCCCTCTATCAGGCTCTGCACTCAGCACACAGTCTCCTTCAGATTCTCTCTCCCTCCCTCCCTCTCTCTTTCTCTCTCTCTCAAATAAATAAATAAAACCTTAAAAAAAAAAACAAAAAACTATTTAAGAAGTAACAGCAGTCCAGGAGGAATAAGAAACCCTGTATGAGGGTCCTGCCTCCCATTCTGCTTCTAACCCAGGTAATGCAGGGGAACCTCAAGACCTGCTTCTGACCTTTGCACTTGCTGTGGCCTCTGCCTAGAATGTTCTTCCCCAGACAGCCACATGGTCTCATGGAGAAGATAACGTAAGAGCAAATACCTAAAAGTAGTGAAACGTTCACTACTTTCAGGTATTTGCTCTTACATTATCTCCTCCATGAGACCATTCCTGGCCATGGTATCTAAAGTTTCATAAACTCTTCACATGGTACATATATGTGTCCCCACACACACGTGCCCACACACATGCACACACACACTTTCTACACTCCTTCCCTCCCTTCTATAAAGATTCATTTATTTTTATTTTAGAGAGAAAGTGCGTGCGTGTGTACAAGTGGGGGGAGGGGCAGAGAGAGAGGGGGAGAGAATTCTTAAGCAGACTCCCCGCTGAGCTCGGAGCCCACCTGAGGCTCAATCCTAGGGCCCTGAGATCATGACCTGAGCCAAAATCAAGAGTCTGTCGCTTAACCGATTGGGGTACCCACTCCGTCCTTTTTTTCCCTTCAGCACTTATCATTCCCTAGTACTTACACAGATTACTTATTTGTTTTATTTCTTGTTTATCCTCCTCTTCTCCCATTAGTGTGCAAACTTCATGAAGGCAAAGATTTTTGTGTTTTTGTTTACTGACAGGTGCCCAACACCTACAACATGATGGCTGCCTTTCCAAAAGATGCTCAGGAAAAATGTGCTGAACCTGTCTGTGGATCTTGTGTAAGCCTCATGAGAGTTAGCGATCTGGTGTTCATGAATGCTAACATAAAATGTTTATTTACTGCAATAATGCAGACATAACTTGTAAATCTAACCACATTCTGTTAACTTAAAACTGAGGTTAAGAACTCCTCTAAGGTAATTAATGGCTTCACATAAGGTATGCACTGTACATCCTCTTTTGCAAAAATGTGATCAGGCAATTTACATTCGACACTCAGATAAGGCATTGGAGCCCTGAGTTGACAATAAGACTATAAACTGATTACAGAAAAACACTTTGGCTTTCTAAACACAGCATCGCCTTTTCTCAGAAGAGCTCAAAAATAGGGGGAAAGGATTCGAAAAAGTAAAGTAAAAACTTTATATATATATATATGTATATATATATATATATAAATAAAAAATATATATTTTTATATATACATATATATATACATATATATTTTTTTTTATATATTTCCAGTAGAATATTTGTTCCTTTAGGTATATTCTCTCCTAGAGTCTAACAAAGAGATGCCTGTAAAACTTTACAATTCAGGTCTCTTTGCTTTTATGAAAGCCAAAATCAAAGAATCCAAACGAAAGAGCCTATCTATCTTTACATAATCGTGTTCTGAACTCTCTACCTGTGTGGCTTCCTAGAAAACAACTAGGAGGCTTTGAAGATGTGAGGAAGCAGCTGGGTATTTTCACAGGTGAAGTGGGTGATTTGTTTCCATAAAACCACAGCCAACTCTCCTTTATAATTACAGATACTTAACATGAAAATTTAGGAGCTCACTGATATCAGAAGAAAAATTACATAACTGGGTGTTTTTAGAAACTTGAACAACTTGGGTTTTACTCAGAGCAATAAATGACTACATTGTGATAGTACCTAAATTTCTACTACTCATTTTCCCTAAAAATAGCATTCCCTAGCTATATAACTTAGTCAAGCCTCTCTGTTCCCTGCTTTCAAATGATAGACTACTCTGATGCTGGCAATCAAGAGATTTTGGAAATAAGACGCAAAGATAGGGGTGCGCCTGGGTGGCTCAGTTGGTTAAACGGCTGCCTTTGGCTCAGATCATGATCCCAGGATCCTGGAGTCGAGCCCCAGGTTGGGCTCCCCGTTCTGTGGGGAGCCTGCTTCTCCCTCTCCCTCTGCCTGTTGCTCCCCCTACTTGTGCATGCGCTCTCTCTCTGTCAAATAAATAAATAAAATCTTTAAAAAAAAAAAAGATGCAAAGATAATGAAGATCAGAGACAAAAATTTGGTTTACAAACTAAAGCTTAAAAAAACAGAGTGGCATTATCCATAATTGCATATAAGTAATAACAAAAAGAGTAAATATCTGGAAGGGTAAAAAATAAACAATTTAATATCTTAACAATTTCGCTTGTGTAAATCTATTTAATTTCTTACAACCATAGCCTTATTAGTGGTATTTCACTGAACTAATATAAACTATTAAAAGACAACAGATGAATATAGATGGTAACTATTACTTTTCAATTCATCCTGAATATTTCCCACTTCATCCCTTCTAAAGTACATCAAAGCCAAGAAAAAAGTGTCCACCAAAAGGTCGGTTGTCATTCTACCTATGCCCACTTTGTAATCATGCTGGCTCCCTTTGATAACTACAGGAAGCCATATTAGTTACTACTATTTCAAAGAGAACGGACTGTTCTTAGCAATGTAATAAACGAATTCAGGGCAATGATGCAAATTAGAAGATTTTGTACAAAATTTCTACGTTTTTTAAGAGGGAAAAATAAGTCCTGATCTCTAGAGGAATACCACTTTTCCATAGAAATGAAATTGCAAAACCTGTAACAAACTAACGTGAAGGGGTGCTACTCTCAGGCTGTCAGGTGATCCTGACGATCATGAGTTGTAGAGGTGGGGGAGGGGCATGAAATCCTAAGTCGCCCCCCTCCCACCATGAAGACATTTCCTCTGGGTTTGCCTTTGCTTTAGATTACCTGGCTAAATGATGCTTTTCTAGGAAGGCAGCTCCTTGATCTAGGACAGTGTTCTGAAGCATCACACAGGTCCTATGCAACTTTATCTAAAATGTGGTAAATTAAAGATTTAGCCAAGAGTCCCATTTCTGGAAGAGCTTGGAAATCTTCTGATCCAAAGTACATTTTCTTAGGGGAAGGATGGGCATCCCTAGAGAAGCAGACACGTACAGCTGGGTCCTGCAAGCCTGCCTTAATGAGCAGCATAGTGGCGCTGCTAGCACAAGGAAGCAGAGAGAAGGCTAAAGCCAGTTTATTTCATCAAAGACCATGACATTTCCAACAGCAATTTAAGTTTTGACAAAGTTGTAACAGCAGAGGATTTGTCCCTAGAGGGAGGGTCAGACAGGTGAATCATGGGCATTCCTTCCAACTCTAAGACACAAAAATCCTTGAGTCAGTGAGCATCTGAGCATCTATGTGCCCAAAAACAAAGTAACTTTCACAAAATAGCCCTTTTGCACCACAGCCACCACACTGTGAGGATTCCAACATGGCAGCAATTTTTACCCCAACACATTGAGGGGGAAAAGTACAAATAAATATGTAACTCACGTAATGGAGCTTGAACTTGCACTCATCTTCGATTTCATCTGCGCTGTCTTCGTCAGAAACTTCCCCCTCCTCTGCATCATCCCCAAGATGATAAGGCAACTTCTTGCCCTGAAATGGAGCAACACACCCAGCTTAAAAATGACCATAGAGTAGATATGTGCTGTCTGGGGCAGGTTCACCTGACTGGAAGCATCTAGATCATGTGTCTACACCCTAGTTCCAAGAACATGTAGACGCTAATGTCAAGCATTTTGGGCCACTAAGAGGGGATTCCTTAACACACAGGGATGGAGGAGGAAAGAAAGATGTTCAGATGCCTGGCAGCCAAATAATGATAAATTTCTAAGTATCATCCCAGACTGCTGTCCAGGCTGATGTTGTCTAAACTCAAACCCCAGTGACTTTTAGTATTCCCGTGCTCCACACCCACTGGCCTTCTTCAGCATGCTGGATTTTCCCCTTGCCCCAATCCCTCCCTGCACAGGATCGCCAGCATAGTCAAGTTTGCAGAGAACTCTCCGTCCCTATTTCCTATACCTTCCCTGACACCCAAAGCTACTGACCCTGGGTCCTTAACACAGTCATAGTTTCAAAGCTTATTACATTGTTTACATAATGAAAGCAAGATCTACACGAAGACTCCAAACTCATGGGGCTTGGATTTTTAAATGTTTCTTCTTTATTTTCTCCACCTTACAGAGGGTTGCTTATAGGATTAAAAGGGTGAGATTTAATTTCCCTTTGTACTGATATACATTACTCTCCTTATTTGTACGTGCTATCTGCAAAATGCAAAATGAAAACTTCACACGAACATGTTTAGAGATAGACAGATGCAGACACATGGATATACACGCACCTCTAATTCTAAGTAAATGGGCAGGATACCTTTTCACTTCCTCCCGTGTATCATTAGTAACAAAGTAGCTCAGAATTAAAGTATTTATGCCTATATATTAAGTCTTTTCTGATATGGAAGGCTTCTATAAAATTTATTTTTTCTTCATTTGAGGGGGCACTGTAGAGTCACTGTACTAATACAGGAGCACCAGAAGAAAGGTCCTCAACTAAGCGGCAACAAGACATGTTCAAGAACAGACAGACATCAAACTAATGTCCTCCTTCATTCATTCACCACCAACTACTGACTCACAGTCTCTGTTTTGGGCACAGTGACAGACAGCCAAGATGGACCTATACGCAAGACATTTAAAATGTAATGACAGCAGTTCCCTCTTTCGATAGAACAAAACCAAAGTAAAGCAGAGCAGAGCTAACAAATATGAGAAGTAACATCTGTAAGGAAGGAGTAACAATCCTTGAATGACAGAAACAGTTCTGATACCACAAAAGGGAAGCAAAACCGGAACCGTGGTGGGCACACAGCATTGAGCTGACAGGATAGCCACACCCGGCTTTAGCTTCCCTTCAGGTACGTGCGGTGGTGGGTGAGGGAACAAAGAGAGAAAGCTGCCTGCTCCGAGCATCCATAGAAGCCCTAATTTTCCATTCATTTAAACTGAATTAAAAGACACAAGGCCATGTTTTTCACCAACTCTTGCACATTTCTGGTTCTCAAAAGATAATTTATCCAGGCAGATAGGAAGACAAGCAATGCAACAGAATGGTGTCTCTTAATGGTTCTTATCAGTTACAGCCAAGGGAAATTATAGAATAAATTAAGGCAGAACTTGATATGACTCAAGGAACGTAGTTGTGATCCAATTGATACAAACAAAAAATGCCCCGGTGTCTTTTAGGGGGTCTCTTTCTGATTTACAGTCTGTTGCATATAGGAATTACCAAGAATTAGTTTAACCGGTCCATGACACGTGGAAATATTATGACACTAGAACCGTAGCTGCCGCTCAGCTCCAATCTGCACGACCCAGGGAATGTGGTAATGACTCTGATTTGCAACTGTAAAAAGTAAGAGGCTTGGACCAGTAGTTACAGTTTCTTTCAGCAAGAAGAGTCTATGGAAAATTACAAAGTTTGCTATTATTTTTGTTCAAAAGCCACTTTTTATTTGCTTTTCAGGAGATTGGTGTGTCTATATATGGTTGGAAAGTATGTGTATTATTATTATAATAATAAACAACTTGTCAATCTCTAAAGTAGTAAGGAGCCACTAAAATGGTGCCTTTTGGACCAAAGGAATGTAGGAAAATCAGTTCCTTTGTTTTTGCTTCGAATGGAAATGCATTGGTCCATAGATCTGGGAGATCTCCTTAAAGTCTTTAGAAAGTTGCTACTAGCAAATGAACCTTAAATGTCTTGAAATGCTCGCAATCCTTGCCGAGGCCACTCCACCCAATGAGTGCCCAAGATCCTCTGGTTCTGGGGCACCCTGGTGCCCATAAGCCCTAAGACATTCTATGACGAATGGTGCAAAGTCCAGTTATACAGAAAGGACTTAATTCATACCAAATATCTACCTTAGGTTCCACTGCCCAAAAGGGAAGTATTTCAACCAAATGGACTTACTCTGCATTTAACCTCAAGAGTACAGGAAACACGGAAACATTCACAAAGCTATTAAGGTAAAATTTAGCTTTTTAGCCCAGCAATCAATGTTTAGCACATAAGAGTTTGTTTTAACAAGACTTCAGGAAAACCGATCTTACTGTTATCCCTTACAGTATTTGAAGCCTTTATTCAAAATGCTTTCACACATACAAATGCCCGACGATAACTCTTTGCTGGATTCAGTCTCTAGTTCTCATTTCACTGACGGAAAAATAGGTTTTGACCAATTCCAAAGACGAGTCCTCCGCACCTTTCCCATTTGCTGCCCTCCCTCAGAGCCCCTGTTAAAGTAGTCCTAGGAAATTACACTGTTTGACTTTCTTCTGCCTCCTTTGTGATACTTGGTTTTTTTGGTACACATTTAAGTAAAATGTAACCCAATTTGAATATTATTAATATCCTGCCGCTCTTCCTTAGATCTTTAGTCTTAAAATAATACGACTACCCAAGATGGATTTAATCCGAACACACAAAGTTAACTGGAATTACGTAAAATCACAAAGTCACCCATGTGAGATCTCAAAAAACTATTTTTTCTGGCTGTTCTGTGTATTAATAATATTCATTGCAGGTAGTAAATTTCTTCCCTCAGAAAAATCTGTTCATGAAATGTCATTCTATTCACCTACTGCTCCTTCACGTACACTAGAGAGTCCTGTGGGGCATTATGTCTGTGCCCATGCTCTCCGGGAAGCAAGCTCTTCTCACTTACATAACCACGGCTGATCAACCGTAAAGACTATTGTTTGTCTGCTCATTCTTTCTTTTCTTTTCTTTTTTTGACAGACAGTTATTGGACCTTGAAGTGGGAGAGAAGAATCTGAAAGAAATGCTTTCAGATATGGACACAAAGAGCCTCCTCTTCCTCTGTCCCCCTGCACCCACACATACACCACGGTCAATTACTACAGACTAAAATAGTAAACATTTGGCTTACAGTATTGATCTTTTCACATCACAAAAACAAATCCCAGAAGACGTGATCAGTCAATAACTAGCTCTTTCTGAAGGTATAACTATTAATAAAGCGGAACAAGATGCATCTACAAATCTAGATGACTCTTCACGGATTGACTCTATTGTTCTCTTGATAAATGAGTTTTTAGTCCTTAAGGGAGGGAGGGCTTCGTTGGTCATTAATGCCTTTGACTGCATTCCTTGGGGTAATTACCTTCACTAGGATTTTGCCTTTCAAACTTTGAGGGCTTGGGAGCTGTTTGGTCTCTCCTGTGTCTACAGATGACAGGTCCAGTTTGTCTCCAAATATTCCTTTCAGGTACTGAGCAATCTTCCTCTGCTGCTGGACACTGCAGTGATTCTCAATGGACAGTATAACTGGGAACCTAAGAGGACAGCAACAGATTCTAAAGGCATCACATACAGGCAACTCACAGGGCTGTTTGAACATCATTCCGTATTCATTATGTTCTTACAATCCCGGTGACAGTATTTGGGAGAGCTGTGATGATTAAAATGAGAAAGATGGAAGATGCGTTTCTTTTTTTTTTTTTTTTTTTAGATCTTATTTCTTTATCTGGGAGAGAAAGAGAGAGAACAAGCTAGGGGAGCGGCAGGCAGAGGAAAACACAGGCTGCCCATTGAGCAAGGAGCCCAGTGCAGGGCTCAATCCCAGGACTCATGACCTGAGCAGAAGGCAGACACTTAACTGACTGAGCCACGCAGGTGTCCCATAAAAGATGCATTTTTTTTTTAAGATTTTATTTATTTATTTATTTATTTGGCAGATCACAAGTAGGCAGATAGGCAGGCAGAGAGAGAGAGAGAGAGAAGAGGAAGCAGGCTCCCTGCTGAGCAGAGAGCCCGATGCGGGGCTTGATCCTAAGACCCTGGGATCATGACCTGAGCTGAAGGCAGAGGCTTTAACCCACTGAGCCACCCAGGCACCCCAGAAAGCATTTTTTAAGAAACTCTGCTGACCAAAATTATTTTGCTAGGCATAATGGCTGAACAAAATATCAACCATGTGGGATGACCTCCTTTAATATTTTGCATTTAAAAAAATGGTTCATTCATTATGTCTCTTTTAAAGGAAAAAAAAAGAAGCAATTTTAAGAGAGATAAGCCTAAAGAAAGAAAACTCATATATTGTAATTTTGTCTTATTTATTCAAAAATCTAAAGTAGACAAAAATATATAATGGGAAAAGACAATCTCTTCAATTAATGGCGTTGGGTAAACTGGACAGCTAATGCAAAAGAAAGGAACTTGACCTCTTTCTTACACCATCCTCAAAAATAAACTCAAAATGGATTAAAGACTAAAGTGTGAGACCTCAAACCACAAAAATCCTAGAAGAGAGCACAGGCAGTAATTTTTCTGACATCACTTATACCAACATTTTTCTAGATGTCTCCTGAGGCAAGGTAAACAAAAGCAAAAATAAACTATTGGGACTACATGAAATAAAAAGCTTTTCCACAGTGAAGGAAATCATCAACAAAACAAAAGGCATTCTATTAAAGGGGAGAAGGGATTTGCAAGTGATATATCCAAAAAGGGGTTAATATGTAAAAAATATAAAGAACCCATACAACTCAACACCAAGAGTCCTCCAAAAAATCCAATTAAAAAATGGACAAAGGGGCACCTGGGTGGCTCAGTGGGTTAAAGCCTTTGCCTTCAGCTCAGGTCATGATCCCAGGGTTCTGGGCTCTCTGCTCAGCGGGGAGCCTGCTTCCTCTTCTCTCTCTGCCTGCTTCTCTGCCTGCTTCTCTGCCTGCTTGTGATCTCTGTCTGTCAAATAAATAAATAAAATCTTAAAAAAAAAAAGCTGATTAAAAATGGACAAAGGACCCGAATAGACATTTTTCTAAAAAAAGATATACAGTTGGTCAACAGACACATAGAAAGATGCTCAACATCACTATCAGGAAATGCAAATCAAAACCACAGGAGACATCACCTTACACCTGCCAGAATGGGTAAAACCAAAAACCCAAGACAAAACAAGCATTGGTGAGGATGTGAAGAAAAAGAAACCCTCCTATGCTATTGGTGGGAATGCAAACTGGTGCAGCTACTATGGAAAACAGTATGAAGGTTCCTCAAAAAGTTAAAAATAGAAATACCATATGATCCAATAATTCCACTACTGGGTATTTACCCCTCAAAAAACCCAAAAACATTAACTCAAAAAGACACAAACCCTTATGTTTATTGCAGCATTATTTACAATAGCCGAGATACAGAAGCAACTTAAGTATCCATTGCATTGTTAGCAAATGGGTAAGGAAGATGTGGTGTGTACAAGTACACACACACACACACACACACACACACACACACACACACACACACACGAATATTATGCAGCCATAACAAAGGAGTAGGTTGTGCCATTTGCAACAACACGGATGGACCTAGAGGGTATTATGCTAAATGAAATAAGACTGAGAAGGACAAATGCCATATGATTTCACTCATATGTGGAATCTAAAAAGAAAACAAATGAATAAACAAACAAAAAGCAGGATCAGCACTATAATACAGAGAATAAACTAATGGTTGCCAAAGCGGAGGGGGAGGAGGGGCTGGGCAAACTGGGCAAAGGGCAGTGGGAGGTATGGGTTTCCAGTTATGGAATGAATAAGTCATGGGAATAAAAGGTACAGTAAAGGGCACACAGTCCATGGTATTATAATAACATTGTATGGTAAAAGTAGCTATACTTGTGAGCACGGTATATGTACCAACTTGTCAAATCACTATGTTGTACACCTAAAACTAATGTAACATTGTGCACCAACTACACTCAAATAAAAAAAAGTAAACTTCAGGATAAAAACTTAAATAGATTCCATTTTTAAAAATGTCTAACAAATCACTAAGTACAGATATTTAAAAATATATTATCAGCCCCCGGCTTGAAAATCACTATGGAGGATAAAATAGCATAATGGAATTTCACGATTTATAGCATCCTATGCCAAACATTTGAAAATCATTTGTATAGAATTATATACGAGTCTTTACTTTCAGAAGAGGCAAGCATTCACTCTCCCCCAGTCCTCGGGTTCCTGTGCAGAGAACATGAAACCCAAGTAGACTGATTGCCAAAGACAGCCTCCGGAGTTGGTGGCCAAGGCAGAAAGGGAACCCGGACTGATCTCTGCTCTTACTCTTCTTCTGACGTTGTTTTTTCTTCAGAGTAAGAAATTATTTCAAATTTAGCTTGCTGGTTTTTTCTACTTCTTTTCTGTCATGTATCTTCTGAAGTAATAGACCATATATATTTTCCAGAGTATATAGCCAATATTTAAATTGGCCCATATATCCATGTAGAGAAAAAAAATTTTACTTCTGGGCTTGTATGGCAGAACATGCGTCACAGGAGGGTCTATAAGAAATTACATCCTTTCCTCATTAGTAAAACCTGATGCCAAAGGTAATAGAAGAGACGAACCTTTGTAACCAGAGTGGGCTACCTTATTCTGATCTAGTTGTTCTTGTGTCCACATGGACTTTATCCCAGAGTGTTAGAAAGAGAGAAAAACAACGACAAACTAGCAAGAGATTATCTATGCAATCACATCAAGGTGTTCTAACAACGAATTTTTAAATTACCAATCTGTTCATAAAAAAGCCTATTAGAGGGGCACCTGGGTGGCTCAGCGGGTTAAAGCCTCTGCCTTCCGCTCAGGTCGTGATCCCAGGGTCCTGGGATTGAGCCCCATGGCCAGCTCTCTGCTCAGCAGGGAGCCTGCTTCCTCCTCTCTCTCTCTCTCTCTCTGCCTGCCTCTCTGCCTACTTGTGATCTTTGTCTGTCAAATAAATAAAATCTTTTTTTAAATAAATAAATAAATAAATAAAATAAAAAAGCCTATTAGTGTCTAATGATACTCAATGTAAAGCAACACTTCTCAACGGGGGACAAGGGGGACCGTGACTCAGCGTTCCCAAAATAGCTATCTGTCAACATCTGAAGACATTTTTGTTGCTCACAATATTGGGGGGAGGGGGAGAATGTGACTGACATTTAGTGTGGAGAAGTCAGGATGCTGTAACCATTTTACAATGCACAAGACAGTTTCCCACAACAAAGAATTATCTGGTTCAAAATGCCAATGGTGCCAAGGCTGAGATACCTGGGTATAAAGAAGGCCTAAGAAAGAAAAGAAAAAGACTGAACTTTTAAAATGTGCTAAACAATCATTATTAACTTTTCATTTCAAGTGCTTTTCTCCTAAATAGCCCCAAACTTGAAGTAAGCCCCGTCAAACACCCAACCTCACATTTTAGAAAACAATGGCAAAACCACTCCATCAACTTTGCTGAAACTAGCAAAAATGAGGGTAGAAAAGACCTGTCAGTTGATACCATAAACCGAAGCTGCCAGGCAGCATGCATCTCTCATTGCAACAGCATTTTAGCCTCATGGTTAATAAATAAGAAGACCAAATATTAAAAATTTTAAAGGCTATTAACTTTTAAAAAATTAATTTTACAGAATTATAATTTTGTTTAATTCCAAAAAAATCATTTCTTAGCTGTCTGGTATATTGCAGGCACCTGCTAGGCAAGAAAGAATGAATAAGACATAGCCCCATATTTCCAATGAGCTCATGGTCTTAAAGACTCAAAAGAAGGCAGGAAGCCAACAGTTACAATTGAGTGCTACATAGATACAACAGAAATACGCTCAGGGTGCTAAGAACAGAGAAAGGAGCATTAAATCAGCTGGTAAATCAGTAAGTCTGACAGAGGGACAGTATCTGAACAGTCTTGAAGGATGGATAAGGATTAGGCAGGTGGAATAATGGGAAGAATGTGCGGGGCAGAGAACAGCACATCGAGGTAGGGAGTTGTGAAAGAACTGGGGTAACTCGAGAATCCAAGAGAAGACAAAGGCAGAATCCCTGCAGAGCAATGATGGAAGACCCTGGGAGAAAGAGAAGAGGCCACGTCCTGAAGGACCTAGAAGACATGACTGCATACCACAGGGAGCTTCTGAAGGACTTTAAGACATACAGCAGCACACTTGTGTTTTCAGAAAGGAAAATATTGCACTGGAGTGGAAAATGACCCAAAGGGAAATGAAAACGGAGAGAAGGCAATGGAGTCAAAAGATAATTAAGGAAGTAGAATTGACAAGAATTGGCTGAATCTAGAAAGACTCGGTTTTTGGCTAAAGACACTGGTAGACAGCGTTACCTCTTACTAAAGGGAAATAGAGCCAGAGGACGTTTGGCAAAACGAAGTGCTGAGTTCGGGTTGGGACGTAAGCTCCATGATGGTGGAAGTCTTCTCTTTTGTTCAGTGCTGTGGCTCCCTAAACTTATTTCAGTGTCCCTGGCTTAGAGTAGGCACCATAAAATACTTGAATAAGTAATGACATGTGCTGATTTTGAGGTACCTATGGGATACGTAGGTGAATTTTTACTAAGAATTTTTCTAGGGGCACCTGGGTGGCTCAGTTGGTTAAGCGTCTGCCTTCAGCTCAGGTCATGATCCCAGGGTCCTAGGATCCAGTCCCATGTCTGGCTCCCTGCTCAGTGGGGAGCCTGCTTCTCCCTCTCCTCCCCATTGTGCTCTATCTATGTCTCTCTCTCTCTCTCTCTCAAATACATAAATAAAATCTTAAGAAAAAAATTTTTAAAAAGGAATTTTTCTACATAATTCTGAAACTGAGGGGAAAGTTCTGGACATATAATTAAACAGCCCAAAAGCAGAACAATGGCAATAACTTAAGAAATAGTGACTATTGGAGTGCCTGGGTGGCTCAGTCGGTTGGCTCAGGTCGTGATCCCAGGGTCCCGGGATCAAGTGCTACATCAGGCTCCCTGCTCAGCGGAGAGCCTGCTTCTCCCTCTCCCTCTGCCACTCCCCCTGCTTGTGAGCTCTCTCTCTCTCTCTCTCTGTCAAATAAATAAATAAAATCTTAAGAGAAAGGAAGGAAAGAAGGAAGGAAGGAAGGAGGAGGGAGGGAGAAAAGGGAGGAAAGAAGGAAGGAAGGAAGAAAGGAAGGAAAGGAAAGGAAGAGAGAAAGAAAGAGTGACAGAGGAATGAGGAAATGGAATAGAAGACCTTAACTAAAAAAAAAAAAAAAAAAAAAAAAAGAGTGAGAAACAATGATGGGATAGAGGGTAATGTTATAATAGAAGCCCCCCAAAACGCAAGTATTAAGGAGAAAAGAGTCACCATTATCCAATGCCAAGAAAGAGTCAAGTGACAAGTCACAGTATATACAGGACACCCAGCAAGGCTAAAAACCTAGCTTTTATTTTACTATATTGTAATATAATATCAATAACCTATTTATCACATATAGTAACCTATGTTTCCAAACTTTATGAACATTGTAGAAATGCTGAAGTCAGTCTTCACAAGAACAGGCTCCAAGGAGGCAATGTCTTGAGACAGAATAGGGTAAGAAATAAATGGAGCAAGAGAAAGTACAAACATGGAGCGCATATTTCTTGCTCACAATTCTTTGTTGGGAAGGAAGGAGGGAGCGAGGGTCAGAGAAAGGGAGACGAAGACTCCAAGGAAGGGTGTGTGGTTTTGTAGTTGTGGTACATCAGCCAATGCTCTGTGTGCTAGCTTAGCTCCCAAGTGTTGTACTTACTCGTTCTTCACAAAGGCGTGCTTGTTGATGGTCTCCACAACGTCTCTGAAGAGAATTTTTGAAGTCAGAGTATAACCGTGGTGGACCACTGGCTCTCCATCTGGGCCATCCCAACAGTCAACTGCCAAGAACAGAATTTCACATCAACAATGCAAAGTTTTCTGGTGTTTGTTAATATTTCTGGAACTATCAGATAAATATTATTCTATATTACATCAGATAAATATTATCAGATTAAATATTATTATACATGTTATGAGCATGACAAAGATACCAGACAGAGAGATGGGTGTTCTGGCATATTTATCAGAATAAGGAATTAAAGATAACAATTTGTTTCTGAGTGTTTATAGTTAACAAAGACATCATATTCACAAGCGCCCTAGCATTTACCAAGAACGCTCGTTAGAAATCGATCTAAAGCCAATCAAGTACACCCAAGGCTAGTGATACTTAACGGGTTGTTTCTCTAATTTCACTTCTTCATTTTCAGCTTACTCAAGTCTTTTGGTAAATTGCAGTGACCCTCTCAAATCAGTAACAGAATTCTTCATTACTGTTCACTTAAACTCATTATGTTTCTTTTAGATTTTCATTTTATTAATTCTACAGGAGCCATAACACTGACTTCTTAAGTTCAAATCCTCAGGCCCTGCCGAGATTTATGTGAATATAGGCAAATGATTTAATCATTTTAAAGCCTTGCTTTCCCCCACTGAAGGGAAAGAATGGTCGCATTTGCATCATAAGTTTGAGTGATGCCTATGTAAAGCTGCTTGTAATACTACAGGATACATAGCAATTGTGATTGTTATTGATAACACTGATACTGCTCTACGTATAGACAGCTTCACTGGCTCCCAGCTCGAGAAACACGACCACCACCATCCACCCTGACTAGGAATTTGCCTCCCCTGTTTTACACTCGACTACCAGACTGGTCTTTCAAAATGATGCTTTCACCGTGTTGTTCCTTTGCTCAAAAGTCTACTTAGCGGGGGGCGCCTGGGTGGCTCAGTGGGTTAAGCCGCTGCCTTCGGCTCAGGTCGTGATCTCGGGGTCCTGGGATCGAGTCCCACATCGGGCTCTCTGCTCGGCAGGAAGCCTGCTTCCCTCTCTCTCTCTGCCTGCCTCTCCGTCTACTTGTGATCTCTCTCCGTCAAATAAATAAATAACATCTTTAAAAAAAAAGTCTACTCAGCACATAACACAGCATTTACTCAATAGATATATGCTGATTTTATTAATAGCCTACAGCAGCTCCTGCCTGCTTAACGCCAAGGTCTCCATCTCTTATGCTAGAGACTGGCTAGCAGCTCCCTCAGCCTGTAACCACTTCCGCCCTGGCACACAGCCGGACTACACTGCCCAGCCTTCCCTTGCAGTAGGATGTGGCCATTGAAATGTGGGCTGAAATTATGTGCACTGCTTCCACATCTGGGCTGTGAAAACTTGCCCTACACAGTCATCCATGCTCTCTTCTTTTGTGATCACTATAGAAGACATGTGCTGGAGATGGCATGACCCAAGACCCCTAAATCATTGCTTGAAAGACTCACCTATTAGGGACACCTATTTTGGACTTTACATAAGCAAAAAAGAAATTTCAGTTGTTTTAAGGCACAGAGATTTTAGGTTTAACTCTTAAAGGAACTACTGTTGCCTTAATACCTTAGCTCCTGTCTGACAAGTCAACCTTATTTTCTCCTACACCTGACACTCACAGACAGGTTCTTCCATTAGGCAAGTTGCCTCAGAGACAACCCTACCTCCAGGACGCTGCTTCTTTCATTTAAGGTCAACCAAAATGCCCTCTTCACGCTCCTTATCTAAATCCCAATCAAGGCTAAGCTGGGGTCCCCCATACAACCTTGCCAGTTCTGGTGACATTGCCTTCCATATAGCATAGGCAGGCAACTCTGCTTGCCAGAGCTGAGAAAACTCAAAACTCTAGATCTTACTGCCATGAGTTTTCCCAATTTTTAAAATATTGGGAATGCATCCGTTTTTAAAATCACAACACGAGCCAAACATTCTGCACGCTGGATTTGGCTAATGGAATGCCAGTTAAAACTCTGAGTTTTAATTAGGGCCAGATAGCTCATGACCACACCTGTTCCTTATTTTAGTAGTAGCTTCCTCATACATGTGCTTTGTATATTACATCAGGGCACGATCTGTCCATTTTTTCCCTAAAACTTTAAAGCTGTTCACCATAACCGTTAATAGGATTTGATGGGTAATTTTATGTGTCAACCATGCTAGGCTACAATGCCCAGTTATTTAATCAAACGCCAGTCTAGATGTTGCTGTAAAGATATTTTTTAGATGTGATTAATATTTAAATCAATAGGCTTTGGGTAAAGTGAATTACTCTCCATAAAGTGTGGGCCTCATCAGTCAGTGGAAGGCCTTAAGATGCAAGACTCCCATTTCCTGAAGACGCAATTCTCCCCATGCCTGTAACATCAACTCCTACCTAAGGTTCCAACCTGCTGGTCTGATGTATGTATTTCCGACTGGCACATCTCCATGATCAGGTAAGCCAATTTCTTAAAATCGACCAATCTTTCTTTCGCACTCTCATATATATGAGAGAAATCCTACTAGTTCCATACCCTAATAGAGTTACCTATATTATAATTAAACATTGACTGTTAAATTATCCTTAGGAAGAAAAATGGAAAAGGTAAGAAGAGAAAAAGGCTAATATCTTTTCAAGGCTGATACCATAGGAATATAGGAAACAAATTTTAAAGATGCTGTTAAGGAAATCCAAGGTTTTGGGATACCAGCATAAAGAGTTGCACTGTTTCTTTGGGCCTACAAATGAGGTAAAACTTATCAAAGACATTTTCTAAGAAGAGAAGCTCCAACTATCTTTTGACATGTTCTTAACATTCTTTAATTTTTCTTTGCATAGAGGTATGGAAAGAAGGAAGAGATGTTTCCAATGTAATTTGAGTAATTTAGACCCTGATCTAGCCCCCTTATGGAGGAAAAAGGACATAACAGGGTTTCTCATAAATGAACTAACATCCTCGCAAAAAGAAGGGATGTAGACCAGGCAATGCCATGCCCATTTGATTATCATGTATACAGAAAAGCAGCTGTTAAAACTACATTGGGCATGAAAGAAGATGTTCTTTTGCTAACATTTATAACATAAGCAGAATATCTGTAGCCGAGGGTGGTGGTTCTTTTTTTTTTTTTTTTAATTTTATGTTTTCAGTGCTCCAAGATTCATTGTTTATGCACCACACCCAGTGCTCCATGCAATATATGCCCTCCTCAATACCCACCACCAGGCTCACCCATACCCCCCTCTCCAAAACCCTCAGTTTGTTTCTCAGAGTCCACAGTCTCTCATAGTTTGTCTCCCCCCGATTTCCCCCCACCCACTTCTCCTCTCCATCTCCCAATGTCCAAGGGTGGTTCTTCTAATGCTCGCTTTTTAGATCTATTTCACCACCTGTCTGCTAAACGAGGATAACAACATTCCCAAATGGTAACTGGCATCCTAACATGTGGCAGTCACAGCGAGGTTCAAATGACAGTGAAGGTTCCTGTAGGAGCTCATGCTGTAACGGGAATGCTGGCAAGACGAAAATCCTCTAACCAATCCCCCTAGCCACAAAATTACCAGGGGCCTGTTTTTCAATCACGTCACATATTAGAGGTCCCTGAAAGCACTCTGACAAAGGGTTGGTCAGTTCTGCAGTCTAGCCAAGCAGCTAACATGACAGCTTTTCATAATGGAACTTAAAAGCGTTCCATCCTGATAGCCCTCCCAGAGATAACAGGAAAGGTTGTAAACCGATGATAGCAGTGATGCGACATCAGTTCCATAATGAGGGTGAAAATCCCCTGGACAGAACCTCCATATTTATTAGGCAACTTGGGCTGAAAATCAAGGGGATGAAAGGCCATGTAAAAAATGTTATCCAGTTGATTTGCTGACAAACCCACTTCCCCAAAAAAGACCTGTTAGTCTTCCCCAAGACACTGTGTGTATCCTGACCAAGGACATTCCTGCCGCTGAACTAATGGAGATGGAAAACACAACTTGATCAAACTAGAAGCTCAAAGGTGGAGAGATTCTTCAGGTCACACTACCATGAAGAACCTGTCCGGAATCATTACTCTCTGCCACTAAGTGCTATGCTCAGCAAAAGCTGCTTCCAAAAAATATCTGTGGGACCTAAAATTTCCAATCCTTGACCTGCTATGTTCTATAAATCAGGTTCTTTATTCCTAACTCTAGTTATTTCAGAGTAAAAACAACTTGATCCAGACCCAAGGTAGATGCCATAGCACTGGTACCTATAAACACTGGTGTCTCAGACCCAAGCTTCAGCTGTGAGCTCAGATCTTCAAAGCACAGGGCTCGCAGACGTTGTCAGGAGAGCGCAAAAGATCATGTCATCAAATTCTCAGACTACAGGAACATCTAAATATTCAGATGGTGGTCCCAATCTTGAACCGAGCTAATTCCTTCTTTTAAAACCACCTTCCCCTCAGTGCTTCACTTCACTTTCTCTAGCCTTCCTTCTGTGACCTGATGACCTTCATTTGATCCCTCCTGGGGCTAATCATGCCATGCAACGCTTGCTCCTCCGGAAAGCACATGGACTTCACAGAGAACAGTGAAGTAGGGGAGTTAAATCAACTTGTGTTCAAATCTCCAGTCCCATGCTTCCTAGCTATGGGAACTTGAGCCACTTCACCACTCCAAGTTGGGGGTGTTCTCTCAAGGAGGCTATTCTAGCCCCCTTAGTGTTGTAAGACTCAAATGAGAATGGATGGAAAGCACTCAGTCAGGACCTGGCTCACAAAAGGGGCTGAAATCATAGTAGTTCCCCTGTTCCTCCACACAGAACATTCAAAGCCAAAGTGATAACCATAATTTTGAATACAACACAGATTCCGGACAAAGCTGATCAAGTCCCTCAGATAAATAGAATTCTTCTCCTCAACAAAAACCTTCCAGAAATAGTAGTCTGACTTCCACTGCCCACTTATAATAGCTTATTCCAATAGCAATAACTTCAAGTAAGCCAAATAATAGGGGAGGGATTTGCGGCTCCAAGCTGATGAGGGAGGTATTGGAGGGACTGCATGTCCTTTAAAGTGACACCAGAGCTGTACATGTTCTCAGTTGGTGTGAGGATCTGGAGCAAGGTAAGCTTTTAGAAAAGGACAGCCAAGTAGCTTCTAGTACTTTGGTGACTGGCAGTTAGGAAGAAAGAAGGGAGAGACAAGAGAAGGCCAATGTCCAACATCATCTGCTACAGACAATTTCTAAAAGCTCTCATTTTAAAATTAAAAGATCCCTAAAAAAAAAAAAAAAAGCTAAGATTAAAAATCACTTGTACCTTGCTATAAATTGTCTTAATCAGATAATTTTCCTTCTTAATACCCCAAACAAAACTGGAGGGTTAGATGTTCTGATTCAGGATAAGGAACTGATCATGGGAACATGGTTAGGCTTGGGTAGGACACTGATTTTTAGAGAGCAAAACCAAAAAAGAGAAGACTGGGTACCTGAAAAACCTGGAAAGCAAAAGAAATACTGCACAGGACACAGCAGTTAAAAAAAATTGCAAAACAGTCTGGAGTTAACAATCACGACACAGAGCCATTACAAGTCATTTTTCCTTCCTTGGCCTCAAAGGATATGTCACCATTTCAAATGATAGGCAACCACCACTATGAATCCAATGAGGGTCTGTGCCCCGGGAACCTCTACGCATGTCACACACGTAAAACTACTTGAGCGCTGAACAAACAACGGGTTGAATAATGGCTGAGAGCAGGATGTCATCTTGAGACCTTCTAAAAGGTTTTTCTTTATGTTAATATTTTATAAGCATCTTCATTACTCAGTTGCTTAAGCTACTCAATTGTCTGTCACTCATGTCAGTAGGCGTTCTCTGCACCAACTGCAAAAATGCCGAGTCTTAAAGCATGAGGTTCCAGGACACTAAATTTGTAGTGGCTCTAATTGTTTTGTATGCAGACAGTTTTTAATGCCTGTCCAGTTTTAAAATGTTAATTGACCCTTAGAACATTCCAGAAACTATCTGACAAAGACCCATCCAGTTATGAGTCTTATCACCTTACTACTTTATTCCTTTCCCCTACACTATTCCACCCCCCCCAGCACAACACCCCTGTTTTCCACCGCTAACCCCCACCACACCCCCACCAAAAAGTGATTCCCTTTTGCTCCGTGGAATCTCCATTCCATCACAAATTCCCTTTTATCATCAGACTCTTTGCAGAGTTCACCTTCCACCTCTGAATCTTGATTAACCATCAGCTTGCCTTGGAGGATACCACCTTTCTCCACAGATGCTTTTTTTGTATAAATCACAGATCAGGGAGCATGCTCCAGGCCTTTATTGGCACTTTTAAATAACTGTTCTCCTATATTCATTTAAAAATTAATCCCCCCACTTTGGAACCTCATTTTATCCAACTCTACGTTTCTGGCATCTTCCAAGTGCCTTTCCTATAGCATTCTTTTTGCACTTAAGTATCTGGTTTACAGTTTTTAATCTCCAACTTCTAATCTTTAAAATTTTTAATAATGAATCTACCTGTCAACATCCTTCATGAGTTAAAAGTCCATGTGGGCAGAGGAGATGCAACATGGGGGGTTAAGGGGGTAGGAGAAGAGTAAATGAAACAAGATGGGATTGGGAGGGAGACAAACCATAAGTGACTCATAATCTCACAAAAGAAACTGAGGGTTGATGGGGGGAGGGGGGTGGGGAGGGGGGTCGGGAGGGGGGGAGTGGGGTTATGGACATTGGGGAGGGTATGTGCTATGGTGAGTGCTGTGAAATGTGTAAACCTGGCGATTCACAGACCTGTACCCCTGGGGATAAAAACATATGTTTAAAAAAATAATAAAATTTAAATTAAAAAAAAAAAAAAAGTCCATGTGGGCAATTTATTCAGTCTCTTAGCTTTAACCTTCCCAATACTAACAAACTCCTCTCCACTCTTCATTCATGCTCACCCACCACACGGCCTAGATACAGTCATCAGCTGTAACTACATCCAAGATCCCACTCTGTGATGACAATTCTCTGTTCTTATTTTTTGTATGTGTGATGACAATTTTCTCCATCTTTTTATCTCTTGGTTGTCTTACCTCATTTTGTAGCCGCATATTCACCTTTTTTCCTTTCTAAGACGCATGGACCTACTGACTAATTACTTAAAAGAGCTCTCACCAACACCTTGATGATATTTTATACGACTTAGAAATCTAGAGGCTTGGATCAATTCTATAATCTATCTTCACTGTTCCTATACCTAATCTTTCTCTATCTCTCTAAGATTTTATTTATTTATTTGACAGAGAGAGGGAACACAAGCAGGGGGAGTGAGGGAGGAAGAAGCAGGCTTCCCGCAGCCCATCGGGGAGCCTGATGTAGGCCTCAATCCCATCACAACTCCAGCCCGTATCTAATCTCCTGGGAATGGGATGGGAGGAGTCTAAGCATGCAGATTTTGTATAACAAAAGGATGGTTTTTAGACTGTTTTTGAAATTAACTAGGATTTCTCCAGTTTATCTTATCAACTCCTTTCCCATTGTTTTTTGATCTTAAGCCCCCAAACTGACTTCCCCCCACTTTACACTTCGTAAATGATCCTCTCTTCCCAGAGAAAGGAGAGGCAATCAGGCTTAAACACTTTGAAAATCTCAGCCCCCATATCCCATCTAAAAACAGAATCTGTGTCCTCGTTTCTTCTTCTTCCAAGTCTCAAAACCTCCCCAAACTATATCACCTAGTTTTCCTCAAATGGGAAAAAATGCCAAGTGACTAACCCATAGCAGCTACCCCCACTAGCCTGTCACCAAACCTATCAAAAGATACCCATAACCTTGCAGCTGTCAAATGCAACCAGATTGGATGATTAGTGTTTGCCTTAATTTACTTTGATATTGCATGGGACATTTTTGCCCATTTCATTCCTTAGATCCCAGTGACCATTCTGTGTCATCCCAGTGGTTTCCCCTTGCTCTTCCTGCATGTAACTGCCAGATCACTTAACTCCTCAGGCCTCATTGCTTGTCCGCTCCTCTCTGTGGGTGATCTTGTACACTTCCAAGACCTTAACTATCACATACAAAACTCAGAACTATGGAATCTTTATCTTGCTGGATCTTTCCATTTTGTTCAGATATAATTATCCAACTGACTGATAAAAACGTCCAAGAGAACGTTACCAAATGACAATAAACTCAAGTGATAGAAAACGTGAACGCTCTTACCCCAGATTCCCTACAGTACATGGTGGCACCATTCACTCATTATAGCTCTCACCCTCATTTCCTACATCCTTTACTTCTTGCACCAGGTCGTGCTGAGTTGTCTTCTTTAAAATCGATGCAATCATCTCTCCTCCTCACTTAGTCCAAGTTTTTATAACCCTTCCACAGAATCATTAAGAGCCTTTTCCACCATTTTCATTGCTCTATCTAGCTTCACCCTGTTTCTCTCCACAAACACATATTCTTCAAAAAACAAAAAACAAAAAACTGTCCTCCTACACAGAGACGCATGTGATCTTTCTAAACTACAAGTCTGATCACATCACAGTATGTACTAAGACTTTTCATTGGACCCTTATTACCAAAGACTAGAATTCCTCAAGCCCTTTAACCCTTTATGATGGACCCAACTTTACTTTCCGAGCCTATTTCTCATCGCATTTTATCTCACACCTTACTCTTCGTAATTCCACTTCTCTACCATGTATGTGATTGGCCTGGTGGAATTCTCACACTGTCCTACCATTTTTAATGGCCACCCATTCTGCCAGACTGTCAGCTCCTTGAAGACAGACACCTGTATCTATGTCCCCACAAGCAAGACCCCATTAGAAATTTAATAAACATTGTTGACTGAGAGACTATAAAGCATCTTGAAAGCAAAGAGTCATCCAGAACTACGTCTGCCACTGTCGAATCAAAAATACCTTTCTAGGAAAACTTTCATTGTCATCCCAATCTTTCGGCAACTGTAGGTGTGCTTCCTAACTTCGGGTTCATCTCCTTGCCTCCTGATTGGACAGTAAGGAGAAGCCAGAGAGCATTACGAGTTAAGAATGATGCTACAACGAGCAGAAAAATGGTTCTGGTTCGTGTGCCTATTTCAAGTCTCCACTGTTTATACTAGACTTGACTGACTTGACTAAAGGCCACGTTCATCAACACTCAGCGGAGCTCAGACAAGGCCCACACCTTCCACGCAGCGACAGCCTTCCTGGAGCACCCGGGCATACATGTCCACTTTGGACTGGGAAAGGAGCTGGTCCCCGGTCAGGTATGTGTTGTGAGACGAGGCGATGTAGTAGTTGCACAAGGGCTGATCCATGTCCTGGTACACTTCCTGGTGCAGCGGGTTAAATATGTCACAAGCAGGACTACGCATGAAGTTCGTGAACCCTAGGGAAGAAAGAGACGGTGAAGGACTCTAGCTTTCAAAGCACGGGTACTTACTCAAACCCATTGGGGACAACAGAGGTCAAAGTATGTTCATAGTCATTAGCTTATTTACACTCAGGACAGCTACTGGGAAGAATACTAAAGCAATGAGATTTGCTTCAGGTCAATGAGTGACAAAAACGTAAATACAATGGGGAAATAGTAGTTTAAACATAACCTACAGTCAACTTTTCAAGAATTTTGATTAAGTCCTTGGGAGAGGGCTTACTGCAAAGCCATTCGGTAGCTACTGAACTCAAGCTATGACTGCGGAGCATGATCTAATGGGTAACTGATGCAATGTTCAAGCCATATTGACACAAAGTGCTACGCTGATTGACCAGCAACGTGACAAGTTATTAATTCAAAAAACAGTATTGTTAGGGCCATAGTTGAGGCCGCAGGTCAAAAGTTAGGCACTGCCTAAATTCAGAGTGTGATTATTTGACTATGAAATTGGTTTGAGAAGATGCTGCTAGTAGCTGGCAACTTTTTATGAGTTTAAAATAGTGTTTAAAGATTACACAGAAATACAGAGAGCAAATGGGACAGTTGCCAGAGGGGAAGGGGTAAAGGGCTGGGCAAAATGGGAAGAGGGAGATCTAGGCTTCCAGTTCTGCAACAAACAAGCCACAGGAATACAAGGCACAGCATAAGAAATATAGTCAGTGATACTGTAATAGCAGTGTAACAAGACAGACAGTGCCTACACTCGTGGTGAGTATGACATAATATGTAAGTTGTCAAATCACTAAGTTGTACACTCAAAACTAATTTGACATTGCATATCAGCTATACTCAAATAAATAAATAAACAAATATATATAATGTAGAAAATCCTATGAGTTTTCCATAGTTTTTCAAAACAGAACACCTGAGTAGAAGCACTCATCAAAAATGAATAAATATGGGAATGATCTCCAACCACCTAACTGGAATCATCAGGGTAAATTGTTTCAAGTCGTCAAGAATTATGTGGGTAAAACTGTGTCTGTAAATATCCTCTGAGACTCTGGAGAATTTCTTCATTGCCTATCCTTATGTCCATAATGGTCAAATCATGTTTAATCCCATTTTGGGGGACCCCACCAGAGAAAACATGCATTTCTTGGTAACGGAATGGCCTAAATTAGTTTATCCTCTCTAGTTGTTTTAATAATGGTTCTTAATGAAATAAATTTTAAATTATTCCTTTCTCTTAATTACCCTCCACCCCAGGAAGTAAACTGGTGATATCAAAACCCTCTTGTCCACACTGAGTCTGAAAGTAGAGGAGAATAGGAGGTCAACAATCTAAATTAGTAAGATAAACTATGGCTTTGGATGCTCTTGAGGGCAATAGAGTGGTCCTCCATTAAGATTGCTGGTTCTGCCTGGGACTTGATCTTCTATTGGGTAGCAGCCTGAAGTTTATTTTCCCACATATTTTAAATAAATATAACTTATACATACATGTAGCTATATTCACATTTATACGTAAGATCCCAGAAGCTAATTCTGAATACATAACTGTGGGCGAATTATTAATTTCTTTGAGAGCCTCACTTTCCTCAACTATGTAATAAAATAGTTGTATTAACAAAATTTGTGGTTCCAATAACCTCTCCACTGCTACCAACTAGGGAAAACAAGTTCATGGCCAATAGTTTTTAAAAAAACATGTACTTTCAAGTCGCTAGTGTCATAGGTTAGTTATTTTAAAGCCAAATTTCCTTTTTTGCAATTACCAGGTTGAAGCTTTCCAAAATTAGCCATTTGAGAAAAGTCCAAATATTTCTTGAGATCTACCACATGCATGGTGGGATAGAGCTGATTTGCATGGAGTGGAAAATGCATATCATCATTAGAGACGCAAGAGAAAGAGCAATATCATGGCATCTGTTTTGTGGGAAAATATGTTGTATTGTGAGTTTTATTGGAATCATCTGTAATCCATGAATATCTCCTGATTTTCTAAAAATTTTGCTAGAATTTAACTTAACAAACTGAATTGAGAAATGAGAAATTAAGAACATTGGTTATTTTAAGGGAGGCAAACCCTACAAGATTCTTACCTATGGAGAATGAACTGAGGGTTATTGGAGGGGAGACTGGTGGGGGATGGGGTAACTGGGGGATGGGCATTAAGAAGGGCACGGGATATAATGAGCACTGGGTGTTATAAAGCAACGGATGAATCACGAAATTCTATCCCTCAAACTCATATTACACTACATGTGAACTAACATGAATTTAAAGAAATCTTGAAAGGGGGGAAAAAAAAGAGAATACTGGTTATTTTACCTTCTATGCCAAGAACATTTTTTGCCTTATTTTCTTCTGAAACTTCAAATTTTCTTACGATGTCAAGACAATATTCTGTTGTCACATTACTCATCTAAACAAAACAGAACATTAGTAAAACACCTACAATTTCATGAGATACTTGCCTCTACACACTTTTTAAGCATTCCTGATACAGAGCAGAGTGGTTAAATGAGCAGTGTTTGAGATTACTAGTGTCATAGCAACTTTATCTTTGTGAAATGATCATCTCAATCTTTCCACATTATCTTTCAGATTTAATCAATGAAAACATCCCTTCAAGTACTAGACAAATGTACTCCACGAAGCAAAATTAATAAAACTGAACCAATATTCAGTGCAAATCCACTGCCAAAATCTACATATTATAAGCTAGTAGCTATCTACAAATTAATATTTCCTAGACAAACACTAAAATTTGCCAATCATAAATACAGATAGAAAGAAATTATTCCCTATCAAAACAGAATGCTCTAGGTAAATCCATACGTGTGGGTATAGATCTATAGATCTTCCTAGTGAATCACAAGAGCAATCTGCCGTGATGATTCAAGATCACAAAGGTGAGTGAGAGAAAGTAAAACCAGAAAGCTAGGTGAAGCAGCTAGCATAACAAAGAATTCTGGAGCTAGATGGCTCGTGTTCAAATCAGCCAGCTCACATCATTAACAGTGGGATCTTGAACAAGTCACTTACCTTCTCTGTGGCTATCTTATAAGGCAGTTGTGAGAATTAAATTAATTACGATCAACGTGTGACATCAAAAAGGCAGCGCAGCCTACTAAGTCATTCTCAAGGTCGCTGCATGAACATTACATACTCAATGTCACTGGAAAAAGCAAACTCTTCCAGAATAATTTCTTTAATTAAACAGCAACATGCAGGATATGATATTTTGATCAAAATTCCACTGAGCCCCACAGTCTAACAATGACATTTAAAAGTACTAATGAATAGTGATGGGGAAGCTAATCCTATGAGTCAGGATTTCATACTTCACGGTGATTTTCAAATAGTCTATTAAGTCTTAGGTTCAATACTTACATTTTAGTGAAATCTAATTTTTCTAAACTGTCTATTTGATAGCCTTTAAACCTTTTGCAGGGGAACAAAAGCTCTGTTATGCAGCTCTTTTTTGCCTGCTTGCAAAAACAGAGACTGCTTTTTCTCCCAAACCAGCTGTGTAATACGCCTAATGCACGCATTGCGTAAATTTCACAACCCTTACTACCTTCAGAGGCTTATATTGCCAGACAACATCAGAAAATACCATAAAATAAATGAAACCATGCTACCTATAAGAACTCTATTACCCTACCCAGGCTTGGAGCAGGTCATTAATTTGTCCGCAACATACTAGAAAGGTTTACCACGTACAATCTAAAAAGCAAATAATTTCTCACAAAATAAGAAGAGCCAAATTGATAACAACAACAACTAAAATTCATGCGCCATGGGAAGCCTGAGTTTACACTGCAATTACTCGGTTTATGAAGCAATTTGTTCAGACATGTAGGGGTCTTGTACTGGACTCAGGTAGTCTACCAGGAGCCCATGGGATCTAAAAAATAAACAACAAAATACCATCATCCTGGGATAGAACTAGTTGGAAATGAGCAGGGAACATGTCACTAGTTCAAGATTCAAAGCAGAATGTGTTAACTAAAAGCATCCTATTGGGGAAGTAAATTCGTGCAACTATCAGTAGACATTCTAAGAAGCGTACAATTTTCTGGGCATGATCTAAAAATAAATGTGAGGGGCACCTGGCTGGCTCAGTCAGTTGGGCATCCGACTCTATGGATCTCAGGATCATGAATTCAAGCCCCATGTTGGGTGTGGAGCCGACTTAAAAAGAACAAAAGAACAGGAAGAAAAAAAATGAAAGGTAATCCATTTCCTACCAAAATTCAAGTATTAAGGATTAACTTGGTGATATACAGTAATATCACATAATAATGAGAAAGGAAATGTATAACTCATTCAGCTTCCATGCTTCCCCCATTCCCTGGTCTAATTTATTAACCTTCCCAATAGCTAACCTTCCCAATAGCAATATCCTGCATTTTCTACAATGCAATTTTTCAGACCTTACTTAAAAAGTTATTGTGAGATTTTGCTGTATGAATCAGGGTTCAACATAGGTTAATGCCCTGTATGGTTCCTTTCTCCTTGTTTTGTGACATAGCTAATAAGGAAAATAGAAAACAACTTCTCTCTACTCTACTGTTTCCCATGGAGCACATTCATAAGTTTTGTTTGGTATCAGTATCTGAGCCACTTGCTGTTTCCAACACAGAGGACTGTTCTTTCTATACCAGGCAACAGGTGCTAAAAGAGCTTTAAAAAACCTGAATACAATAATGATTCTTTACCTTTATATAATGCAGGCACTGCTGTGCAGTTTAGAAAGAGCCTTCGCGCGCAAAATCGTAAATAGTTCTTACAAAAGTCTTGTAAACTTGGAATTTTAATCCCCATTTTATAATAGGAAAATTTATGCTAGGGAAGGTTCACTATGTCAAAGTCACAAAACCAACAGAAGGCAGGACCACGGATCTCTGACTTCAGATCCAAAGCCTTTTCTTTTACACTATACTTATCTGGGAGTTCTTTATTTGTACTGAAAAACTGAAATGCTTACTTTCAAAACTGATGGTTTTCTTCAATATAGCTAAAACTACTAAATCTTAACTTCTTAGATTTAGTAGTTGAGATGCCTTTTTTTTTTTTTAAGATTTTTATTTATTTATTGACAGAGAGAGACACAGCGAGAGAGGGAACACTAGCAGGGGGAGTGGGAGAGGGAGAAGCAGGCTTCCGGCTGAGCAGGGAGCCCGATGCAGGGCTTGATCCCAGGATGCTGGGACCGTGACCTGAGACTCCTGGGATCGTGACCTGAGACTCCTGGGATCATAACCTGAGCTGAAGGCAGAGGCTTAACCCACAGAGCCACCTAGGCATCCCCTTTTGAGATGCTTGGAGGTCTCAAGTTAGTTATTGTAGTTTAACTTCTTTGACTAGTCCAGGTTGGATTCCATTCTCCTTTCCTCGTTTGCTGTAATACTTAATCTCATCCAAAAAGACTATCTGGCCCTCATATTAAAGGTCAGCCCACTTCAGATGGACTAGTTATAGAGATCAAAGTCACAGGTCTCTATACCACATATTACTGTTCTGATACTGACTTTTATCCCCAGTATCTAGCAAAGCTTGGACAACGAGTGAGAATTTCAAAACAAAGTCAGAAGTAAATAATTATATTTCTTATAGCTATGACTCCCAAAGCACAGCAAACCCAAAAATCATAATGTAACTTGCAGAGAATTTTAATATTGCTAAGCTCTTTTCAATTTACTTTTGTCAAAGTAATATATTCATAATTAAATGTCAAAACTAAAGATGCTTATGATTGAAAGTAGAACTCCCCCTTCTATCCTGAGAACCACTCTCCAGAAAAAACAGTCAACATTTCTAGATATTTCCATTGGAAGGAGTCTTTATATTCCTGATTATGATGATAATGATGATATATATATATTATGATGATAATGATAATAATGATACTATTGATACTAATGATACTATTTTGTTTTTATACACTTCAAGCATTGTCTCTTGACTTTTTTATTGTGTTAGACAAAGATTTAGCTCATTTGGGCCTGCAAACTTTCTCCCTCTACCTCTCCACCCAGGATAGCTATTTCTTAATTTTTATTAAATTACTATTTAATGTAGATTATTCTGATTATGCAAATGTTGAACACTGAGTCTATTGTACAATGATTGTGTTTCTTATAGAATTTTTTCCCAATCTGTTAATTACTGCAATTCCTACCCAATGGTTAATTTCTAGTGTCCCTCTCATAAATTCTTCTTGGTGGCTCTAACGGCTTCTCAGTTAACCAAAGGCAACAAATAACCCATGAACTCCAATTTTTTACCCCCTACAAAGGTCCTTCTTCTTCCAGGCTGGTAGGATTCCAGCATTTTATTCAGCTTCAGTTCTGACTTCTTCCCCTGACGGTCCTCAGAGAACGCTTGGAAAGCAAATTATTTCTTGCATGTGTTCTTGTGTACTTGTGTCTTACTCTGCATACACATTCGGTTGACAGATGAGTCGGGTAGAAAATTCTAGGTCAGAAAATGTTGCTCCTATGTTTATGGTTTCTGGAATTGCTGATGAGAAGTCTGATGCCGTACTGATTCTAATCCTTTGACAGGACCTGTTTTTGTTAATTGGATCAATGTTTCTTTTTTCCTCTCTCTCTCTCTCTCGCTTTATGTAAACCTCCAGGGTTTCACTTTATCCTTGGCATTGTGAATTCCATTATGATTTATCTCTGTATCTTTTTTTTTTTTTTTTTTTTTTTTGTGAGAGAGGGAGTACACGGGGGGAGGGGGGGGGGGGCGGGGGGGGGGGGGGAAGAGGCAGAGAGAGAGAAAGAGAGAGAACCTTAGCAGTCTCCCCACTGAGCACTGAGCCCACCCCAGGCTCAATCTCACCACCCTGAGATCATGACCTGAGCTGAAATCAAGAGTCGGACACTCAGCCGACTTAGCCACCCAGGTGCCTCTCTGTGGATCTTTATATATTCACTGCACTTCACACTCAGTGGCCCTTTCAACCGAGAGAGTTCTAACTTTCCATGCTAACCATTTTTTGTATTATTTATTTTATAATTTCCGCCCTTATATTTGTTCTTATCTTTTTCTGCAACTCCGATTATTCAGAGAGTGGACCTTCTGGAGCAATCCACTAATTTCCCTATCTCTTCTTCCTATTTTCCATTTTTTTGTGTTTGTTCTACTTTATGGGTGATTTTCTCACTATCTTCCAAGCCATTTATTGAATTTAGTTCTCTGCTCTGCTCTTCCCTGAACCGTCTTTTCCCAGTGCATATTGCTCTGGCTTTATGGCTGCAGTTTTGTGTTCCATCACTCCGACATTAATAGCAGTTTTTAAGATGTCCTTTTCCGTGCATTGCTCTATTTCCTCCAAGTTTATCTTGGTCTCTGTATTTTATGGTAGAGGATTTCCTCAAACATGGTAACCTTGCCTTTTTAAAACCC